ATTTAGACACCAACATGAAACTTTTCAGAGGACTTCACTAAGGACCAACCTCAAACATATGTGAAGCAAAATTTGGTGCGGAATGTCTGACGTTGGTTTTTGGGGGGGTCAAGTTATCGTAAAAATAAACAATTTGCTTTTTGCAAGGGCTATATCTCATTCAATGAAGTTAATATAAGTGTAAGATTTTACATGAAAGTAGTTTCAATTGGGGGCTATTACAGGCAAAAAATTTGGTGAAAGTTTTTTTTCAATTTTTGACTTACACCCCCCCGAACATTGGTCCAGATGAGTTTTGGGCCATTTTGGGGCCCCTCTAACTTAAAAATGAAACAAGCTACTTTCTTTCTGTTTAAATATTTAAAATCTACAGCAAAAAATAGCCCAGATTACCAAGTTTGAAATGTCTGGGGGGTATACATTGTAGTTTTAAATATATGGCCCTTTAAACATTGAATTTCATGACGCGACGCACTTTTTGCCCCGCCCACCTCAAATTTCAAAATGCTGTTGCGCAAGAACGAAAAGTCGTAGAGACCCCAAATTTTCAGAATTTGCATTTCTCCTAAGTATCTTTCAGTACACCAAAAAAGAAAAAAATCAAAGAGGTGATGGTGTGCACCATTTGTTGAGTTGGCATGGAATGACCCAAGTACTCCATTATTCAAACTTGGATTTGATCAAATTAATATTCAAATATTGGAAGCACACGATCAAGTTTTACATGCTCAAGCCTAAATTGCGTGCGTCTGTTGGGAATTGCATTTGCTTTAGTCAGGAAGTGCATGTATACATGCCTGGTTGAAATTTGTGTACACTGATTGGGAAATAAATGGGGCGCTTCTCAGGATTATCATATTAAAATGTTTAATTTTAACCCTAAAGTACATGTACCTGAATCCATCAAAATCTGTTTTGGAGGATTTCGGTGGATTCAGGATACCTCCATATTGAACAAGTTGGGGGATTCTGCAGGATTTTGATGGATTCAGGATAGGCCTACCCCGGTACCTCCATATTGAAGAAGTTGGGGGATTCTGCAGGATTTTGATGGATTCAGGATATTGAACAAGTTGGGGGATTCTGGACACATTCTTAAATGCCTTCTACCAGTATCTCCAAAGCAATGTGCCTGCCAAACAAACCAAAAATGGTTTGAAGTCAATTTTAATAATACTTGCATGGCGAATTACACAGGTCAAGTGTTACAAGGACACACAAAAATGTCACACTTTCGGACCCCACATTTATAGAGTGACTCAAAAACGCTACATTGGATGGTGGATTAATATGTGAATTTCAGCACAATTAACCCTAAAAAAAGTTGATTTATCAGCTTCGCTTTGATTTACTCGCATACCTATCCCACCTGAAATGCACGGCAAGGTCAAAGGTTGACGCCTAACGGCCAAGTGTCTGGTATCAGGTCGTTAAGGCTAATTAATATCAACAGACATTGTGCGCGGTGTTTGCATTCAGACGAGAGAGGGGTCCACCGAGCATGTGCAGAGATTACCACGGTAAACTTTGGTCCTGTGTGCAGACCGTCAGAGCACCGACAGAGTTTGATGGGCCCGTTCAGGAAGGACGTTTGATTAATGGGCAATATTTTCCGACACTAGCGGCCATTTCATAGGCATTTCTTGCCCTTTGATGAGCGTAGAATGCTGGAGATTCATAATGCATTGTGTTAAAGACACGGCTTTGTACTCTGTACTCTGCACTTTTGGAAGTGTTTATACCAAGCAGGTGCATGATCACAGTTTTCACACCGTGCTTAGGTTCATAAAGGCGATCCCACCAATTTGACAAAATTGTTTGCTAGTAAAGTGCAAAGGGAAACTGGCTATTACGTGTATTATAAAGATAAAAAAAAAAAAAGTTGAACAAAAAACTTGACTGGAGCAGGGTTTGAACCTGCGACCTCCGGATTACTGTTCCGTTGCTCTACCAACTGATCTCGTTATCCAGCCGTTCATGAATGTTGGCAGTCTCCTTATTGTTTTGCAAGAGTCTTTGTTCAACATGTTCAATGGGCTCTAGTCATAGGCAGGTTCATAACTTGCTCCAGTCAATTTCTGCGCTCAACTTTGAAAAACTTGTTTTGTTATGATTTTAATGAATTTCATACTTGAAGGAAATATACAACATTTGCAAACATCACAAAACAAAACCTCCACATTACTATGAATACCTTACTGGACTGTTAGTTAATAATAGTCTCAAGCATCCTGTGAAATCATGGCACCTGCTGTGCTGTCATTTTCAGGGGTGCTGGCCCCACCCAAGTTTTTGTAGACATTCAAAACCCCCCCCCCCAAAAAAAATAATATATCAAATTATTGGTTTTGCCCTTCACCGACAATTAAACACTGTATACTCAGTGTGTTACCTCCTGAGTGAAAGTTGGAAAAAAATCACTCGGGTGGGACTCGAACCCACGACCTCCTGCTGTCTAGTGCAGATGTCTTACCACTGGACCACCGAGCTAACGGGATCGGTTCGAGTCCCACCCGAGTGATTTTTTTCCAACTTTCACTCGGGGGGTAACACACTGAGTATACAGTGTTTAAAAACGTCGGTGAAGGGCAAAACCAATCATTTGATTTACATCACCCCGACGCAAAATTCCATCTTATAATAATAATATAAACGAAAAAATATACATTAGGGGGACATTTCCAAAGACTTGTGCACACAATTTCCCCCGACTTTCTGACCTCTAACCCCAGTTTTACCTTATCATACTAATTGGACCATGAGCAATCAATCTAGCCTATTTGTGACGGTAAAATGTTGCCTCTAAATAGGAGCTGAGACATCGGGGAGACATTGAAATATCAAGTTGTGGTAAATAAGTTAATTATATGGGCAGTGGTCAGTCCTTATTACAAGGGGAATATTGCGTCAAATACTCCAACAGCATCTATCTATTGATCATGATGAACAAAATTAGAAGCAATTACTGAGTGGCACCATGTGCACTCAGTTCACCTTTGAGTTTTCAGTACATGCGTGCCTCAACGTGCACGACATGCCTATTGAGCACGGCGCCACCTCAGTAATTGCAAATTAACCAATTAGTATGAAAGGTCTATACCTTTCATCATCATAGGTAATTTGTGCATTTTGTTCGTTTGAAGCAACAAACGTGCTCAAAATCTAAAAAAGGGTATTGAACAACTAACCTGATGAAGTTTCAGCGCAGCTTTAGCTGCATATTCCGAGAAAAACAGCATTCCAGGATCTCGATTTCAAATCAAAAGTTGCTGAATCATGTTTTGAATTGGGCCTGAATTCAGCGTCCGTGACACTTTCTCAATGAGCCGATTGCAGCTACGCGATGTCGGCACTGATCCGACGAATTATAGCAACCACGGTGCCTGTGCGTCGTGCCAATGCTTGCGCGCTTTGCTGCAAAACAAAACGAACTACTAATTTAAATTTCCTACGGTGGGTCTTAAGAAGCACCGTTGGAAAGACTTTCTTTTGTAAATTTCTTCAAAATGACAGCTTCCAGAAAGAATAATTTCACAGGAAGTTTAGTCCCCTTGCTATCTTTCAACCAAGTATGTTTTTCAACAAGAATTACTTTTGGGATAGCTGCAAATGATGGACTCTGGCTTAAAGGGACATATTTTATAAGTTGCTCTACCTGTGTTCTTCGATATATTCAATTTGTTTGTTTTTTGCACCTAATAAATGTTCAATTTGTGTCTTTTTTTTTTCCAACCAAAACACTCTCATTCTTATATTTTGGGCATCTGCACCCTCCAAAAAAAGGGTTGGTTCCCAGTCCATACACTGTTGATATTGAGTATGGGGCGAGAACCAGTCACCCTGACAGAACGGAATTATTGGCGGCCACAGTAATTCAAAATGTGTAACCTAATAATTCAGTAACTTAAACACGACTGGATTGTTCATTAGGTTGATATCTCATGCAAAAGCAAATATCTTTTGTATTGCTAGAAAAATAGTATTGAGAAATCTATTTTTCAAGATGGAACATGGAAAGAGCAAGAGGAATGCATCTTGAAATGAAACAAATTTAAATCAAATTTAACCCTCCTGCTATTTAAGCAGTCACAGACAGTCAAAATTCACTTCCACTTTCCCGACTATACATTTAACAAAGGCTAGTCACCAGCAGTCAGATCAAATGTCAAGCAAGCACTGTGACTAGTCAAACTGTGTCAACAGACAAAGCAGGCAAGTTGTGGTCACAGCTGTTTTAACACTCACCCCAAGTCAACGCATATTTGTATCGAGTTACTTTCAGTCCCAGTTGGTCAATCCTGCTTGCTAGAAGTTCTTAAAGCTATAGTCCATCATTTGCAGCAATCCGAAAAGTAACTGGCCTAATTATTGTTGAAAAACATACTTGGTTGAAAGATAGTAAGTGGACTAAACTCCCTGTGAAATTATTCTTTCTGGCAAGCTGTCATTTTGAAGTAATCAACGAAAGAAGGCCTTTCCAACGGTGCGTCTTAAGACGCACCGTAGGAAAATTTAAATGAGTAGTTCGTTTTGTTATTCGGCGAAGCGCGCGCAAGCATTGGCACGACGCACACGTGCGCGCGGTTGCTATAATTCGTCGGATCAGTGCGCGACATCGCGTATAGCTGCAATCAGCTCAGTGAGAACGTGTCTCGGACGCTGAATTCAGGCCCAATTCAAAATATGATTCAGCAACTTTTGATTTGAAATCGAGATCCTAGAAAGCTGTTTTTCTCAAAATATACAGCTGAAGCTGAGCTGAAACTTCATCAGGTTAATTGTTCAGTATCTTTCATTAGATTTTGAACACTTTTGTTGCTTCAAACGAACAAAATGCACAAATTACAAATGATGGACTATATCTTTAACTATTGAAAACAGTCACTTGATTGATTTTGACTTCAAGAACAACTTGACAGTGACTGTATGTTTTCATTGGAGGGTTTATACATACTTTTTTTTTTGCTTATTTTCCATTTTTCATTTTTCACATTTTATAGCAACTGAGGCACGAGAATCTTGTCAACCTGATTGAAGTCTTCCGACGTAAGAAGCGTCTGTATCTCGTCTTTGAGTTTGTAGATCATACCATACTGGATGAGTTAGAGCGATACCCCAACGGTCTAGAGGACAACGTGGTACGGCGGTGCATGTGGCAAGTCCTGAAAGGCATCGACTTCTGCCATAATCATAACGTAAGTAGCATCAATAATAGTTTATTGGGTTTACTAATCTTAGAAAAGAAATTGAAGTTCTCCTGAAAAAAAAAGTGACGTGAAAAAAACTAAAGTTTGGCCCATGAATGGCGTTTACATGTATCTCCAGCACCCGATTTCACGAAGCGCTGCGACACGTCGCAAGTCGAGTTACGACGTGTAACACGTCGCAACTCGCGACGCGTTGTATCATCCATTTCACGAAAGTTACGATGTGTTGAACGCGTTGTAAGTTCCTTGACAACGGCTTAAAACACGTCGAAGGGTTACGACGTGTATAGTGGTCATCGCAAAATAAGAGTCATTTTCTAAGCCAGTTTTATGCCATAAACATTACAAAAACGAGACTACATGTATAATACCAAAGCAATGTGTGTAAAGTTGTAAATAGAAAATTCATTGAGTAATTATGAATTAGACCGGAATATTAGAGTTGAAATTTCAAAGTAGCTATACAGTCCTCTGAGAGCTTGTTTTCCTTCAAAATTGCATCGCATGGCCGCCATTTTGTTTTACGTTTTAACAAATTTCGAGCTGAGATCCGACATCTCTTTGTTGAATATCAGACGACTATTTACTGTACGCTGACTTAATACATAAAACAGTCACCGAGTTGTGCTATAAATACACCTACGACGCGTCGCACTTACGACGTGTTTTGTGAAATGGATCGCAGGACGCGTCGCAGCTGCGACGCATCGTAGAGATACGACGCGTCGCAGCGCTGTGATGCATCGTATGTTACGAAGAGTTTGATGAAATCGGGTGCAGTTTTAGTAAAGTGAAGCGACTGAGAATTAAGGGTGTACATCGGAACCGTGTACCCAAGTACCCGACCGCTGATGTCAGGAACTGGTTCCAGATTATGGGATCTGGTAGCCGTTACCAACTTTACATATTACTTAGTAACTTCTCAGACAATGAAAAGAAAGGTTTTGAATGCCATTTGTGGGGAATTTTCAACATGAAAACCTGCCTACATTGAAAACCAAAACAGATTTCAAGTTTGTGTTCCTTTTTGGCGATGACGCTCGCAAAAGCTACGGTGTACGCCGTAAAACTATAAAGCTTTTCAGACAGCTCCCGGGATTTGAATTTTGGGGTTGGATTTCTTTTGTAGGGTACCTGGGTACCTGTGATTCATTTTATGGGTACCTGGGTACCTGTGATTCATTTTATGGGTACCTGGGTACCTGTGATTCATTTTATAGGGTACCTGGGTACCTGTGATTCATTTTATGGGTACCTGTGATTCATTTTATGGGTACCTGTGATTCATTTTATGGGTACCGGTACCTGGGTACCTGTGATTCATTTTATGGGTACCTGGGTACCTGTGATTCATTTTATGGGTACCTGGGTACCTGTGATTCATTTTATGGGTACCGGTACCTGGGTACCTGTGATTCATTTAATGGATACCTGAGTACCTGTGATTCATTTTATGGGTACCTGGGTACCTGTGATTCATTTTATGGGTACCTGGGTACCTGTGATACATTTTATAGGGTACCTGGTTCGCATTTCGGTATTACCTGTCAATTCACAACACTATACTGAGAACATTTCTGTTTCCCCTGATGGGATGCACATACTCCGGGGTGGATAGAGGCAAGTGGGGTGAAGTGGCTTGCCCAAGGACACAGCATATGACCAGCAGCTGGATTTGAACCCCTGACCCTCTGATCATGAGCCACGGACCCTAACCCCTCCCCAAGATAAAGTGTGCTGGAGAACAAGCATAGTAAATGAAACCTAGTTGTTGGAATTTTAAGATATCGACTGTGTCGTAGTAGAGGTGCTTGCGATGGATCACATTCACTGGTTCTTGTGCTCTTGAGCAAGGCACTTTACCATTATTGCTTCGTCCTTCGGATGGGACGTAAAGCCCTAGGTCCCGTGTGTTGTGAAATGCACGTTTAAGAACCCAGTAACACTTACCGCTAAGAGAAGGGGTTTGCCCTGGTGTTTCTGGCAGTGGCTGCTGCACCGCAGCACCTTGTAAAGCTCATAAAAGTGCTACATAATGGGTCTCATATTACTCATAAACTTCATTAACCTGTCTTTAAACTAATAGACATTATTACCAGCGCCTTGAGTACCCAATTGTTGGTAGATGCATGTACGTGCGCTTTATAAGACTCCAGGATTATTATGATTATTAACTTACTCAAAAACTTTGTTTCTGCTCTACCTAGTTTTGTAGTGGCTAAGGTTTTTGTCGCATTTTATTATTGAAGATTTTCACTCAGAAATGTACTGCGTTGTTTTGTTTTGTTGGATATATGATAAATGTGTGGTTGTACCGTTATATGTACTTTTGCTTTCAGTAACTTCAACTCTTCGATTGAATTAATTAATGTCTTTTTCCCTGCAGATTATTCATAGAGACATTAAACCAGAGAACATTTTAGTTTCCAAGTCCGGCATTGTCAAGTTGTGCGACTTTGGCTTTGCAAGGACGATAGCTGGGCCAGGGGAAATCTACACGGACTACGTCGCTACTAGGTGGTACAGAGCACCGGAATTATTAGTAGGAGATACGAAATATGGAAAGTAAGTTCAAACACATTCAGTGTTATTTTTTTAATTTGGTGGTTCCAGAGGGATATCCCAATGTCCTTTTCACTCTTTTACTGACCGCGACTTGGACTGGCTACCTCCCCCACTGACTGACTTTTTCTCTGGAACTGATGTAGGACTAGCAGCTGATTTCACGAGACTTTATGCGATGGCGTAACTCCACTTGCACCACAATTTAATGGCCACATTTCACAACATTTCAGTTATGAGACATTTCACGCAATTTTCATAGTGCGTAAGTCCGGGACTTTCGCAACAATTTGTGGTGTAACTTGCCCAGTCATTTTAGGTGGCGTAAGTTGTGGCGTAGTGACTGAAAATGATCTGTTTTACTAGCACATCATGATTGCGTCAAGCTGTTTATTGGTTTGTTATTTTTAGCAGCATCATTATAATGGCTGGCCATCCACAAAGAAATAAAAATGTATATAATTTGTGAGAATGTGATTGGTTTTTCCCCATGCAGAGCTGTAGATATCTGGGCGTTAGGTTGCTTACAAGCTGAAATGTGTACAGGCGAGCCCTTATTTCCGGGAGATAGTGATATAGATCAGCTGTACCATATCATCAAGTGCTTCGGTAAGTTATCTCAGAGACTAAAAGCGCAGCGTCCAAATTACTTGGCTAACCAACTCATTCCAAAGATGTGATTTTAGTACATGGAAAGTTCAGCTTTTGGTATGAGCACTGGTCAGCGCGCGCGTCGATTTTAATCATGCGCGTCAACCTTTTTTTTCTTGAAATTAACACGGAAACTTCAACAGCGCCCTCTATTGCCGCACCTCAAATTTTTGTACCAAGGAGCACCAAGGAATGGGGAAATTGCACCAAGGCAAATGATAAAGGGCACCAAGACAAATTATGGAGGACACCAATGTATAATGAGGACACAAAAAAGCAAAATAGTACCCACCTTGTCTGTACAATACAAGCTTGAAAAAAAAAAAAGCCACCAAAAAAAAAAAAAAACCACCGCGTCGCCGCATCAATTCCGGAACTTCGGTCTGACCAGAGACCGACTATTTGTTTTGGCCTAAAGTTTGTCTTCTAAAACCGCAATTATGTATTCTTGTTCACTTAATTTGCTCCTTATACTATTTTGTTCAGCGTAACTCTTGAACACAGTCTGAAAAAGATGTAAAATTCCAGAAAGAAACTTATACCTTGTGCATACATGTACTTGTTTCCTTTATTTAAATAGATGTCATTTTTATTTGCATGTATCTTTGTTCTAACCTTTGCCACTTAAAGGTATATTCCATCATTTGTAATTTGTGCTTTTTGTTCGTTTGAAGCAACAAAAGTGTTCAAAATCTAAAGGGTGCTGAACAATTAACCTGATGAAGTTTCAGCTCAGCTTCAGCTGTATATTTCGAGAAAAACAGCATTCTAGGATCTCGATTTCAAATCAAAAGTTGCTGAATCATGTTTTGAATTGGGCCCGAATTCAGCGTCCGAGACACGTTCTCACTGAGTCGATAGCAGTTACACGATTTTGCGCACCGATCCAACAAATTTTAGCAACTGCGCGCATGTGTGCGTCGTGTCAACGCTTGTGCGTGCTTCACCGAATAAAAAACGAACTACTAACAGAAATTTCTAACGGTGCTTCATAAGATGCACCGTTGAAAAGGCCTTCTTTCGTTGATTTCTTCAAAATGACAGCTTGCCAGAAAGAATAATTTCACAGGGAGTTTAGTCCCCTTACTGTTTTTCAACCAAGTATGTTTTTGAACAATAATTACGCCAGTTACTTTTGGGATAGCTGCAAATGATGGACTCTGGCTTTAAATTTTTTCACAGCTGTTGGTAGTTCTGATGAAGTTTCAGCTCAGCTTCAGCTGTATATTTCGAATAGTCCATCATTTGTAATTTGTGCATTTTGTTCGTTTGAAGCAACAAAAGTGCTCAAAATCTAAAGAAGGGTGCTGAACAACCAACCTGATGAAGTTTCAGCTCAGCTTCAGCTGTATATATCAAGAAAAACAACATTCTAGGATCTCGATTTCAAATCAAAAGTTGCTGAATCATGTTTTGAATTGGGCCTGAATTCAGCGTCCGAGACCCGTTCTCACTGAGCCGATTGCAGCTACGCGATGTCGCGCACCGATCCGACGAATTTTAGCAACTGCGCGCGTGTGCGTCGTGTCAACGCTTGTGCGCGCTTCACCGAATAAAAACCGAACTTTTAACAGAAATTTCCAACGGTGCTTCTTAAGATGCGCCGTTGGAAAGGCCTTCTTTCGTTGATTTCTTTAAAATGACAGCTTGCCAGAAAGAATAATTTCACAGGGAGTTTAGTCCCCTTACTATCTTTCAAGTATGTTTTTCAACAATAATTACGCCAGTTACTTTTGGGAAAGCTGCAAATGATGGACTCTGGCTTTAAATTTTTTTCACATCTGTTGGTAGTTCTTCTGCTGAACGATAATCTGTCTTAACTGTTGTCTGTTGTAGGTAACTTGATCCAAAGACATAAAGAGGTCTTTATGAAGAACCCGCTGTTTGTTGGGATGCGTCTTCCTGAGGTCAGGAACGTAGAACCGCTGGAGAAGAGATTCCCAAGTCTGACAGGTCTATCAGTCACTGTCATGAAGGTTAGTCCAGCTACTTGCCCTCTAGTTGGTATACAAATATAACATGGTTTGAGGGTGGATAGTATGCTAATAATGAATGTTTATGAGTGCAATGGTAAGAATAATTTCATGTGGTGACAGATGAAATGTTCCATTTCACGAGGCGAAGCCGAGTGGAATGGAACATATCACGATTGCGCGAACGTGAAACATTCATTATTTGTTTTAAACAACACCTGAATGAATCCTCTTCATCTGATAGTGTGCTGCGTTTTCTCTTCTCAGTCCTGAGTAAAATCGCGATAAGAAGTTGTTCAGTTTTGAATCAGTATAAATCAACAGATGTTCCTGTATGTTTTGTCCAATCGTTTGGCAACAGATTTCATTTGCTTCTTTGTGTTAGCAGCATCAGCATCACCTGCAAGTTCTGATATTTCATCTTCTGTTAGGAGAACAAACGGTGTTTCAGTCTCGCGTTACATCCGCATTTTGTGAAATAGATTCTTGTCACAACGCCACCACCGGCAGCAATGAAACTGTGTAATGGAAGTTCTATTCACCATACAATAAAACTTCCATTACGCTGCGCGCCGCGCACGCACGCCGTGCGTTGGGAATAATTCAATGACGTGATCAACGATCCACCAATCAGATGACGGGGATTTATTCAGGTGTGGTATTATATACAAATAATGAATCGTTATGAGTGCAATGGTAAGAATAATTTCATGCAGTGACAGATGGAGTGTTCCATTCCATGAGGCGATGCTGAGTGCATTGGAACATTATTTGTTTTATACAACACCTGAATAAATCCTCGTCACCCGATTGGTCAGAACCACCAAAACGTGTGACCGTGTAGTGGAAATTCTATTTATCTCGGACTGGAACTGCAATTTTTGTGGTGCGTTTGGGCCGTGGGTTGGGACGAATAATTCAATGACATGTGATCAATGACCCACCAATCAGTTGACGGGGAAGTATTCAGGCATTTTATAATCGGTATTGTCGCCCCAATGCATTGGAAGTTGACAAACTAGTTCCCTAGGCTTCACCTCGGCAACTAGTTTGTCAACTTCCAATACCGAGGGGAGCTAATAGTGACCATCCACTAGAATTAATCCATAATTTGTTGTACTTTACCTCACACATATTCACAAAATTTCATCGAGCTTCGTTCTGTCGTCGTGTTTGTGCAACAAGGTCATATATATCCTAAAATGGGCCATACTAGAAACGTGAGTTTCAGAATGTCAAAAGGTCGTATCTCACTTAAAATAATCGGATGTACACACAATTTCAGTGGACGTCGAGATAAGACCTTGGTGCACGGAGCATAAAGTGCAAGATACGACTTTGTTGCAGAATGGAGTTACGACCTTGTTGCACTGACGCGGCGATGATATGTAATTAGTCATCATACCCGTACATCGTGTGTGACTTTTGCAGGCGGTAATGGTCCATTGCATTGTACCTGAGCAGGGACCTCTGTAATTCAACACTAAATTTTCCAAGTTTTGTCTCAAATTCTTGTAAACCTTCTGTCGTCACCCCCACAGAGCTGTCTCCATCTGGACCCCGACGAGAGACCAACCTGCTCCCAGCTCCTGCGGCATGACTTCTTCAAGAAGGACGGCTTCGATGAGAAGTTCCCCTCTGAGCTGAGAGTCAAGATAGCCAAGGAGTTCGACTGCAACCCGCTGCTCCGGCCCAGCGGCGAGGAGAAGGAAGGAGGCGGGGAGGAGAAGAAGAAGAGCAAAAAGAGCAAAAAGGTCAGCAGCATGGGCCGATTCTCTGCTAAGCACGGAAAATATCTGCTTAGCGGAGACAGGTTACCAGACTCAATGTCATGATCTGTGTATTGCTCTGGACAGGTCTTCAGCATGGGCTGATTCTCTGCTAAGCACGGAAAATAGCTGCTTAGCGGAGACAGGCTACCAGGCTTAATGTCATGATCTGTATATTGCTCTGGACAGGTCTTCAGCATGGGCTGATTCTCTGCTAAGCACAGAAAATATCTGCTTAGCGGAGACAGGTTACCAGACTCAATGTCATGATCTGTATATTGCTCTGGACAGGTCAGCAGCATGGGCTGATTCTCTGCTAAGCACGGAAAATATCTGCTTAGGGGAGACAGGTTACCAGACTCAATGTCATGATCTGTATATTGCTCTGGACAGGTCAGCAGCATGGGCTGATTCTCTGCTAAGCACATAAGACATCTGCTTAGCGGAGACAGGTTACCAGACTCAATGTCATGATTGTGTATTACTCTGGACTGGTTCTTAGATGATTTTTGTTTAGAGGATAAATTTGGCTAGCAGTCTTCTCTGTTGAGCAGCTTAACTCTAACTCTCCCAAATCCTGCAAAATCTTCTTTGCAAAGTGGAGGATTTTGCAGGATTGAGGCTATATGGCAAAAGTGTGTTGCTGATTTCGGAGGATGCACTGTGTCAAGGTCTTGGGCCGGACCTTGTGTTTATATGCTCAGCCGTGCATAAATGTAGGCCTAGAATATACTTGAAATCCTCCGCATGCTCCAGGATGTCACTGGCTCTGCCTCAACATATTGAGAATGATTGCTGGAGGAATTTGCAGGATTGAGGCAGTGGTCACCCTTCCAAGGACCACATTCAAGAAATTACTGAGGATTTTGCAGGATTCAGGCTATATGCTATATTTACAAGGAAGCAGTTGGAGGATTTTGCAGGATTGAGGTTATATCCTTGCAAAAAAATTATGCTGGTTTTTCCTTTTGCAGGACCAGAGCCACAGTCACTCGGACAAGGAACGAGAGAGAGAAAAATACAAGAAGAGGCACTCAGATGCCGATAGACACAAGATATCGTCAACGCCACCTGATGTGAGTGATAAACACCCCAAAGTCTCATCGGAAGGCCATAGGAAGGTCAGAAACTAGCAGTAGAAAGAACATGATGTATTTTTACCACAGTAATGGACTTAACTCAGTTTAGTTAACCTTAAAGGGAGAATACAACATTTGCAAACATCAAAAATTAAAACTACCAAATCATTTTGAAATACCTTGCTGGACTGTTAGTGAATGACAGTGTAAAGCATCCTGTAAAATCATGGCACCTGGTATACTGTCATTTTCAAGAAAAGTGGTATTTTTGTATCAATTTCCAACGCTGGTCGGCCGACCAGCGTTGGAAAAAACTGGCTTTATTTCAAATACTGGCCCCAATTGACCATCGCACTTGTTTGCAATCGATTACACACCTATGAATGGGTACAAGCCAGCTAGACTGTTTCCCTGACCTTACAATTCCCCAATGTATGTAAACTGCTCTGTTTCTTCTTATATGGAGTCAGGGAACCAGACTACAGGAAAATGATTGTTTTTCTTGGTTTTTATAGCATTTTCGAACCCAAAACCTCAAAAAAGTCAGTGTAACTATATTTTCTATATATTTCCAACCCCACAATTCCATCCATTTCTGAAAATTACAGCAAAAGCAAATGATGTATATTCCCTTTAACCGTGCTCAATGCAACAAGATTTTGCATAATTCAAATGAACCCTTGAAGGCATGCAAATCTTTGTCAGGTCATCTGGCTTCCTCGATTTTGGCAGTACAGTGGAACGCCGCTATAACAAACATCGTGGGATTCGCAGAAAGTGTTCGTAATAAGGATCGTTCGGTGTGCGATTTTGAACCGCCGGTACCCTTTTTTGACCAATAGTGAGCTGGCATTTCTCACATCCCGCGGCCGCACGAGGAGTCGTCGCGAAAGTTAAACAATGGTTTTCCCATTTATTCCTTGGGGAAATAATAGCCATCTATCGCTCTTTAACATTCGAACACGATGTAACTATGGGTCGTTTGATGTTCAGGAATTAAAAGTGGCCCAAATAGTGTTTAATACAACCGGTAGATTTTTGTGAATCTGTTGACTCTTTTCAACAACGATGTTCGGTACGTTTGGTACATTAAAACCGGGAGCAATGGATGATGTTCGGTATAGCCGAATGTTTGGTATAGCTGTGTTTGTTCGGTATAGCGGCCTTCCACCGTATAGAGTGCAGTGCCTGTATAATAGCGCGCCGTATCTACACCTTACCGTTGCGTGAAAGTGCCCTTCAAAGAATGGTTGAATCTCGACTCAATGTTGCTTGATCGTCCCCTTAAAAAAAATGTCGAAGCCAACCTCACTGTTGCATGATCGTCAAGCCCATACAGCAAACCACCATTTGCATGTGTGTTAACCGGTACCCGTTGCGCGGTATTGTGTGCAGTACCTATTCAAAATGTGCAGTATAGAAGTGCGTGGCGCCGGTCTGTATTTACACGTTTGTGTGATGTAGGCCTCCAAAAATGCTGCTTTTTTGCAGCTTCTTTGAGAACTGCTGATCCAAACAACTTCAAACTTGTCACTGCACATTCTTGGGTCCCGAGCAATACACCTGCTTATTTTCAACTTCATACAGTGCGCAGCTCTGGAGATAATCAAAATATAGACGAACACACAGTCCCAGAGAGATTCCTGGACTTACAGAAAGATGCGTGTGTCTGGAAACTCATGGGAAATGGTTGTTGGATTGCCAGTGTTTCGCTATGGAGAACTTTAATCATTGAAATCTCATGTTTGTGTCAGAAACCCGTTTTGTAATGATGTACACTCGAACTTCTAGGAACTTTCATTTTAAAAGGTGAAATATTAAAGTTGATATCGTGAATATTAAATGCCTTCGGCCCGACCACGTTGTAGCTGCGTTCTTTGCAATTCAGTTTTGCTGAGCGTAAGGATGATTAACCCCCTCCCAAAAGTTATTTTTTTATGTATTAATATTCTTATTTCTTTGTGTTATAGTATTCCGATGCATCAGACCCCCACAAGAAAACCTCCAGCAAGACAGGCTCGGGTTCACCCATCCCTACCATCACCCCTACCAGCAAAATGCTTCCGTCCACTGTCACAGCCAGTCACAATAGCTCCTCGAATCCTCCACTGCAATCGCAGGGGGGTTCCTCCAGCCAGGCTCCCATCAGTACGATAAATGTGGGGACTATCGGTGCATCCAAAGGGAGTCATACGTCCAATAATACGAGTGGGCCTCCTCACCTCAGGTATGTTTATGATCATCTAAGATAAAAACAAATTGCCCCCCCCTCCCAAACCTCTTGTGCCCCTCCCCCACCCACAATTTTTGGGGATGAAAATCTGGCTTTTAATTGTTAACATGGTTAAAAGAACCAATAAGGTCCCCTTCAAGAATTGGATGTCCCTTAAGTGCCACACCTGCAAATTAGACCCCAGCTTCGCCATTTGCCCAGATTCAGAACCCTCCTATGCAAACATACATTCTATGCCAAGTTCTTCTTTCGGTCAAAATCAATCAAGTGACTGTTTTCAACCATTAAGAGCTCCCAGCCTGTGCATAATGCAGGATTGACTGGCTGTGACTGTTTATGTAACTTGATACAGCTATGCTTGGACTGTAATACAACAGTGGGTTACGGAAGACCTGATAGAATGCACCCGCTGAATGGTCAGAATCTCGAGGTCAAGACGCAGTCTTGTTTTGCATTTTAAATTAATCAACAAATTTACTCGCATAGACCCGTGCTGTGCAAGGGGATACTCCATAGACTACATAATAGGGCCTAGGCACAAAAACTCACACACTCCTGTCTTTACGATTTGTTTTTTAACATCAAATGAGTACTGCAACTGTACTTCCAAGAGCTTAGTTGAGGATGGAGCACAAGTGTTTTGAGTACAGAACATGCCAAATGAGGCTTATGATGCTCTAGACTTGGGCGAGTATCAACGAAAAGTACTCCTGAAGGCTGCATACTTTATCCTGATTTTGTCCACCAAAGTCCTATATTTGGTTTTTTTTTTTTCCCCCACAAATTTTGATCCTACTGTTCTCTTTCTTTTTTCACCTGGGTCTGCTTAAAAGCATAAATAGTCAATCTTTAAATGTTCTTGATTCAGAATTAGGTCGGTAACTCTGGAAAGCCATTCTGTAATGGTGTATAGATTCTAATTTTTCTAAATCAAATTTTGTTGGTCCCCCCCCCCCCCTGCAGGGCTTCAGATAAAGTCAAGAAAGGCACGACCAACACTTACTACAAGAAGCCCGCCCAGCCCCCTCCCGCCCACCACAGCACCAGCATGACCACGCCTGTCCAATCCGAGAAAACCATGCTGCATGAGAGAACGTTACAGTTTGATGTCCTGATGGCAAGTCAACGCAAGAGCAAAGGAACGTCGTCTCCTAAGCTGGAACGAGAGATTACGCACCTGCCCAACTTGGCTGGACTTGATGGTGAGTGATCACGGAAATTGTACAATCACTATTCACGTTTGAATATCCACATTAGAGAGGTATTACATCCATAAAGGAGCATGCATACATATGGGTCATTTCACTGCGTTGGGAAGCAGTGCATGTTACATCCATATATTTGGTTATATTATTAAAAGTATCAATGCATTCTAAACAATTGCTGAACATAGTATTTGTCTTAGGGTGTTTCAATACTTGAGAAAGTTTGAAATCATTTGAAAGTACTTTGACAAAAATATGAGCAAAAATGTATTAATTCGGATGTAACATTGACACCGTGTCAATGTTACATCCAAATATTCTTTTTTGGCCATTTTTTAGACGTATGTAAAATATTACCCAAACTGACATTGCATATTTACAACTGGACACCTAAGCACCAAGAAAAGCTTTTGTTTTGGTATGGTCAGGGTTCAAATATAGCAGAAACAATACCTCAAGTGTGGATGTAACGGTGTAAAAATCACTCAATGGAAGTGTGACATTGGGTTTTACACCGTGTCAATGTTACATCCACACAACCAAGCTATCATTTCTGCTCCATTTGATACCCGACTACCGTAACAAAAGCTTTTCTTATTGTGTTGCATGTATAGTAAGAAGTACGCAAAGTGAATTTGGGTGATGTTTCGCAGAAATTTTAAAAAAGGTACAAATGTCACATTTGGACGTAACTCTGAGACGGTGTCAATGTTACATCCAAAATGACATTTTTTGCTCATATTTTTGGCAAAATACATCGAAATCATTTCAAACTTTCTGCAGTCGTGAAACACCCAACAACAAATATTATGTAGAGCAACTGCTAGCAAGGTGTTCATGCTTTTCTTATGGTCATAATATGGTCATATGTCACACATTGTTCCCCAACCTGGTGGAATGACCCATATACAGTCAAACCTTACAGAAAGACCACTCAAGGGAAGCAATAAAAGCGGTCTTTATAGACAGGTGGTCTTTCTATACAGGTTGATTATATTTGCCCTACCTTGCCTTAACCCTAGATCATAAGTCTGGAGCACAAATCTAGAATATATTTCTGGGGGTTTCCTCCCACCTCTACAGCTTTCTTCAAGGCTTGAAGTGGGACGCTGTGGTCCAATGGTTACGGTGTTCGACTCGCGTGCCGTGGTACGTGGGTTCAAACCCTGACGGGAACATGGTGCTTGTGTTCTTGGGCAAGACACTTTACTACGATTGTCTCTCTCCACCCAGGAGTATAAATGGGTACCTGTGAAGGTAGAGACCAAATTGCGCTGATCTTGAGCTGCTGCAGAAAATGTCTCATTCCTGATGAACAGGGATAATAATTGTAAAGCGCTTTGAAACCTTAGGTAAAAAGCGCTAGATATCAAATGTGATGCGATCAAGCTACATGAGTCGTTTGTCGACCCTGGTCAATTTTTATTTTTTTACAGATTTGAAAAGAGCACAATCTCAGCATTACTGCTGTGAAAACTGCATGCTGATGCCATCTTTAGTTAAAAAATTATGGAAGTCGGAACACCGAGAGATATCATGAAGTGATTTGATGAAGTGATCTTATTTTGGCCTGTATCTCCAAATAAAAATTCCCGACAAACGACTCATTTAGCTTGATTGCATCACAAGTTGTCTTTCTGAAACCAAAATCTATTTGGGTCGACTTTGGTTGCTCTAAATACATTTTCGTCCGGTGGATAACAGAACTAACCTTGGATGTCTTTTTGACGACTGTTTCTCTCTGCCACAGTTGACTCCAACAAGAGATCGGATAAGAAACCCAAAATCAAGAAGAGTCAGCACACCCCGATGCCTCACATCGGTCTCCACAATGACCCTGGTCACTCTGGCGCTAACGGCTCTCACCTCAACCAATCATCATCTGCCGACGACTTCAGAGAGCACAACCTGCCGGCCGTATAGCACAGGACGAACGATTGCCGTCGGCAAGTTTGTTTTCTATAACAAATCACTAGTTGGGCTGGGTTTTCATGTTGTTCAGGAGTTGTATGTTGAAAGTGAGGAGCAACTGTGCAGCGTACCTCAATGAAGCGTGACAATGCAACGACAGATAGACTTTCTGGATTGGACGGGAAGAAACAAGTTCCGGACTGAAGCAGACCATCTCTGGCTCGGAGCGTCTTGAGAAAAGTTTCTCTTGCTTGGACGAAGCGCACAGCGCCAACCAAATGAGATCATATGAAACTAGCATTGCACGGCTATGAAATATTATGAGAAAGGATTGTATAGTGTACAGTATTTGTTCGTCTAAACTTGGTCATATTTCTTAGTGCCGATGACACGCTTTGAAAATGTGGTATTACATTTTTTTAAAATTTAGAAAAAAAAATTCAATTACACATTGGTGCTTTGTGCCGATTTCATTCAATTTGATATGATTCACATTGTAAACTAAAGAGTTAAACATGAAATTTGAGAAGTTTACATGAAATTTTTCATGTTGTTGCAAAATTACTTGGTATACCAAAAAAAGCCCTAAAAACCGCAGAAAATTTTATTTTCTGTGTAGAGGATTATTTGTTATTCGGTGCTTTGAAATGTAACCGTCACGTGAAAGAGGCCACATAGTTTTATCAGGTTGTTTCTTGTACATAGAAATGTAAATAATGACATATATATAGGCACATTTTGTTTTTTTGTATTCAGCCAAGTTTATCGTTCCACTCATTTGGTGCGTTTTACCTAAAACCTCAGCATTGCGTAAATGTTCCGTGTTTTTTTGTGTGGCTTGTACATTCCGACTGCAGTTTACAAAGCACATATAATGCGCTATTTATTTTAAAAAAATGTTTTGTGTTTGCATCTTTATATTCGAATGCCAGTTTGCGTCAGTGTTTGTGTATTAAGTCCAGGAGAGATTGCAGAGCTTTTTTTTGGTAAGATACAGACTTATTCTTCTTGACTTAAATTTGACCGTAAAAGTTACTCTCCTCTGATAAAATCTTTTCAGGCATGATATTTTTTAGACTTGAGTTTGTAATCAGACTTTTTGAATCTGATGGAAAGACATTATCAGTACAGTAGAACGCCACTAAACCGTACATCGCGGTTTCCACAGAAATTGTTTATAATAGCGATCGTTCCGTATAGCAATTTTTAAGCTCTCTGTGCTCTGGTACTCACTTTTCAATAAATAGCGCCCTTCATAACTTCACCCTGCACTCCCTGGTAGTTACTGAAAGATGACTTTGAACACGTGCCGGCTATTAAATTTTGTCTTGAGACAGTTTTTGAGCTTACTACCTGCAGCAATGAGTGGCTTTCCCCTTCTATTCCTTGGGGGAATAATAGCCACTTGTCGCTCTTCTGTTGACAAATTTCAACAACAATGTTCGATACATTTTGTACACAAAAATCCGGAGCCAAGGACGATGTTCCGTATAGCCGAATGTTCGGTTTAGCGATGTTTGGTATAGTGACGTTACACTCTATAGAAAAAATATGTCTTTCAAACGTGTCATCCAATTTTCATTTTTTTTTTTTACATTTGAAAATATCATCCCTGTTTCAAAAAACAACTGTTTGTGGTTAGATTTACTGAAACGACATTTATTTATATGCTAATGACACAGAGCTGAAATCTTTAAAAATCCTGAATATGTTATTTTAATATGCAAATATTATAACCCACTTAATATTCGTAACCTCCTCCCTGAAATACTAAACATTTTAGACTCGTACGGTATTTTAGACTCGTACGGTATTTTTTTTCATATTTTGTTAGAATAATGCAGTTGTGTTATATACATGTAATGCTTTAATGAGGAATGTAAAATCCTACAGTTACAGCTTTTTTGCTTGTTTTTTTTCCCTTAAAAAAACCCTGAACATATAATTTATGCAATTATTATAAACCCTGTTAGATGCTAAACCTCTATCCTGAAATACCCAACGTGTAGAACTCATATCGTTATTGTCTCATTTTTCGTTACATTTTTAGTTGTTGGTACAGAATCCTGTACAAGCCGGTTCGGTATTTTAACTGCGTATGCGCACAGTGATATGGGTCACGGGCCATTCATGAAAATCGAACGCTCATCGAAGGTGCATGAACTCACAGGGAGACGAGCGCATGACGCTCGTGTGTGGATTACGGGCAAAATGGGCGTTCGCGTTACACTGCGTAACGTCACGTCAGTGATATCCCAAATGACCTTTGACCTGGACTACTTCATTGCGATATCGAACTGGTTTACTCAGGAATCGAAGTCCTTTTTTTACAATATTTCCCTGTTTTTCTCCTACATTTCAGATTTATAACTTCCATCTTTACTTCGTATTCTTTTAGGCGTCTAGATTTCCTGCAAAAAGTTCAAAGAAACAATTTATGATTGTACTTTGTAACTCCTTGTACGAGTATGAATAACTGCAAGATTTATTTCGAACGTGCATGAAAATAGACTGGTGCCATAGCACAATGGTTTGCGTCATTGCAAATTTACTGCACTTATCGTGGAACTAGTCCAAAATGGTTGCTGATAACATGAGCCAAGGTTGGTAAAGCACCTTCATTTTCACCTGCCCTTATTCATAAATAAGACAGTTTTTACCCGTTCCTATTTGTCGAGAGCCCATCACGTGGGTAGTTTTAAACGGTTGATGAAACAGCGACTGGTTTTAACACTTGTTTCCTGGTGTCACATGAAATTTGGACTCTTATGAAATATGGTCCCTTTTACCGTTTTATTGGTTGAATCCTCACACGTGACCAGTCCCTCTCCTTATCGTCACTTAGGCATGCACAATGCTGCCAATGAGTCCATATTTCATAGTCTAAAACTCACACTACACCGGCACCGCTGCGTTCTGCGCCACATCGCGCAGTATGCACCATGCGCATACCAATCTCCTTATAAGGAGTTTTTTAGTACCACTTTGCGAGGCACATACCGTAACCATAGCTAGAAGGGTGTTTCACAAAACATGAATTAGAATTGTTGAACAAAATTGTTGGAAATGAATAATTTTTGACTTGTTTAGACTTTTTGACCGAAAGGTATTTATGAATAATGGGAATAAATTTGTGCTCGGCCTGTATTAAACAAGTATTTTTACAACCGGCTAGAGGCCTCGTGATCGGTAATGGCCATTATGCATGTCCAGGCTCCTAGCCGGTTTAATTGTACCTGTTTAAAACTGGCCCAGCACATAATATTTCTTTAATATTACTTATTTATTTTGCTCTTTAGCCGAATGTGGTGTACTAGTTTAGAAATGGGTTTTAAAAACCAAGTTTAAATTGCAATCAGAACCAAACACACAAAAGATGAAACTTTCCACACTTGTTTATGCATTTTGTGTCTTATTCACGTGCAAAACACCCCCAGTCTTGCTTGAAATAGTGTACAATAGTTGTCTTCATTGTGTAAGCCTGTTAACTACTGCAATCTGTCGTTCTTAAAAAAGGTATTCAGTTTTGTAGGTCTGTTTTTATCAACTTTTTGGTAGAAATAAATTATAAAATGGACTTATTCACACTACCTCGGTTTCATTTGAAGTGATTCTTAATAATACTGTCTTAGATTTTCCACTGGATAGTCCGAAAGTTCGTTAGTCCGAAGGTTCAATAGTCAGAAAATAGAATAGGTTAAATATTCCAAAGGTTCGATAGTTGGAAAAGACGATAAGGTTTGATAGTCCAAATCAAAATGAACCTTGTGTTCATTTCAAACATTTGCACCTTTGGATTATCGAACCTTCGGACTATCACACCAAATGTTCGGATTAACGAACTTTATTTCATTTTTGGACTAATGAACCTCCGGGTATAGGAAATTTGTGTGTTCGAACCTTTGGATTAACGAACCTTTGGACTATCGAACCTTCAGACTATCGAGCGGATCCTAGTTTTTCACCATTGAATGCTACATTGTGTAAGCATTGGTGTGGACACCACAACAAAACCGCACCCTTGAAAGCTCCAATTAATAATCCGATTCTCCAAACTTGACTTTGAATTCAGAAAAGAAGAGAAATTCTAAACCACAAATTCAAAGCTGTATCCTCTCTGAGTGATTCTCATTTGCTATTTCCCGGATTTGCAGAATTGCTGATATTAATGGTGCTAGCATTGTGACTTTGGGCATGCCTCGCTATAGGGGTGTGGGTTTGGATCCCACCTCTGACACCATGTAATCCCACTTCTGACACCAACGATAGAATGTAATGCACTTAAAATGACTGATACTGGGAGACCATGTTGTGTATATTGTAATGAAATAGCCCTTCATCATTACCTTCTTTCCCGCCTCCTATTTTTGGTTTAGCTTGCCCTACACCCCCTGAGCTTAGTGTGTATCAGTCCAGCCAGGCATGCTCATTTGCATAATTCTATTGTTAGCCCCATGCGCATTGAATTTGAACTAGCCATGTGTGCTTCAGTCTGCTGGGTGCTGTGCTAGGGATAGGTTGTCTGTGGAGGGCTGTGCAGGTTTTGCCTGGGCGTGGCAAGGAAAGGCCTTGATGCAATGACCAAGTAAGTTGTAGTGCATGATAACTTAATTAAATCCCCCTGGGTTGGGAGTAGAGTTATGGTGTTTTTACCATAAGCTACCCCACTCACACTGACCATCACCGAGCCCCGCCCTTTGTATTTTCTCATAATTAATTGTTTTCCTTGCATTTAGTTCTACAACAAATTCCTTTATTCGGTACTTTAATTAAAGAACTTAAATCGTAGTTGCCCCTAAAATTAGAAGTAACCTGTAACAGTCGTTTGGTATACATATTCAACATGGAAAATAATGGTGGTGGAAGCGCACCCGACCATTGCTTAGCGCTGGTAAACATCGCGTGCTACTTAATGCAAAGTACCTTGCATTGACCTGTGACATGTGTTTACACCCAACAGTCATTTTGAGTGTGCTTCAGTGTGAGTTGACAAAAACAGACCTCCAAAAATTATCTGGAAAAACGTGAGTTTTGTCAGTATTTTACTATTCATCTGTTCATCATTTGGTGCATTATAGGTCTGTACTTAGTATAATACTTTAATATTGAATATATTTATAAACCTTTTCGTATCTGAAAAAAAATTGCCATTTTTGCTATTGTGAGTTTCCTAGTGTTTATGCATAAACATAACGCTAGGATCATCCTAGCTACACCTGACCACGCTACAATATCCAAGATGGTTGTGTACTTGACCCAGTTACCGGCCCATCAATAGAGGGCGGTATATATATTTAACAGACCTCGTGCACAGACATACTCGTTACAACATGGCTACGGGTTTAAGGCTTCTGACTAGCACCCCTTGAACTAGCCCCATAAATGTGGCCTATTTACTGGACTGCCTCCGTAAACATAGGCCACACATCCACATGTACAAAAATCGTGTCGACGGAGCCAAATTTTGATTTTCACATTTAGGCTTAGTTTGTAGGGTTTTTTTGCTTTAGAAGCATACTCACCCTCTTTACAGGCTAATCAGAAAGTGCTGCCTTTTTCAGATGTCTAATTTTTGTGAAATTTCATGTTGAAATTTTGATACGCAAACGTGTAAAAATGAATCTGGAAATTTCACGAAAAATATACATCTGAAAAAGGCAGCACTTTCTGATTAGCCTATAAAGAGGGTGAGTATGCTTCTAAAGCAAAAAAAACCTACAAACTAAGCCTAAATGTGAAAATCAAAATTTGGCTCCGTCGACACAATTTTTGTACATGTGGATGTGTGGCCTATGTTTACGGAGGCAGTCCAGTAAATAGGCCACATTTATGGGGCTACCCTTGAACAAGGTCAAAATGGGGAGTCAGGTTGGCGTAGTGGTACTTTCCCCGCCTTCCACCGCTGTGACTCGGGTTCGAATCCCGCCTGGGCCAACATGTGGATTGGGTTTTCAGTCCCTACCTGATTCCGTGGGTTTTCCTCAGAATATTCTTCTGGGCTTTTCCTCCCACCTCTAAAACTGTAATTTCTTCTCATTGTCTTCTCTCCACAGGTTTCTTCAGGCTTGCGAGCTACAGTGCCTAGGGCGCTTTTGAGGAATCCTTGGTTTCATTACCAGAAATGATTAATAATAATAATAATAATAACCAGCATAGGCCTGGATAGCTCAGTTCAAACCCCGTTCCAGTCAATTTATTTGTTCAACTTTAAAAATATTCAAAACTAGAACACTCTGATGAAAGAAACATGGCGGACTGTCAAATTGTAATATATCAAATACTGTACTTTTATTTATACTAATATCTTTTTAGTAAATAGAGTACTGAACCTGCAATAACTGGGCAAAACAATGTTAGTTCTGGACTTGGTGTAAAACTATATACCATGTCAATAAAAATGTAAAACATTAATGTAGGCGAAGGACACTTTATTTCCATTATGCACGGACGTTCACATGATAGAAAACCTTCAGGTTTGTTCATGATTACAAAACCTATGAGTCCTTCAGTGCGATGGCCAAACAGTGCCAGCTACTGGGCATACGTAGTCTGGGTCCCAGACCCAAAGATTCTGACTATTTCTGACAAATATTTTGTCAGGTAGCCGCCACAGCTAAAAATAAACATGACTAAAACAAAGGCTGCACCCTCTCATTTTTGAAAAGCTCAAAAGTTCACCAAAAGCATTTCGCTGACTCTTGGATATGTTTGGAACAGCTCTGGTATTTTCCAGGGAAAAATAGTTTTTATTTACCAACAAAATTCATGACATGCTTTTAACAGTTTTGAAAATTTGAGGTTCATAAATGTATTGCTTGCATTTAAAAAATTTCAATGCCAGGCATATTACTCAGTGTCTGTATTAAATGTTCAACGTAAACGCTGTCCCTGAAAAATGCATCATGTTCTGGTTTAAATTGAATGTGTCCGCTACCCGACCTTAGATTTGTCAGATTAGTCAGAATCTTAGGTCTGGGAACCAGACTCGGTCCTACATGGACTCCTTCAACAAAGGCACACTCTGTTTATAACACCTAGCAACCACGTAAGTTGCTCATTTGCATAAATACATTTTTTTCTGTAAAAAAAAATAGGTTTATAATTAATCATCCTCTAGACAACCAGTGCAATTTTTTTTTTAAATATTGTGCAGTGTGACAAACCCTGCTCAATTGCATGCACCAAGTACTTTCACAGTAAATTTTAATTAACTTTTACAAATTTAAACTTTTAACTCATGAACAAAGCTGTTATTCGCAAGTTAAATATTAAAAGATAACTTTATGGCATTCCAAAGGCATATCAGTAATAACTAAAATGCACAAAATATGTTAAGGTGTTGTACAACCAAAATATAAACTATGCCCTAGTCCTCAGAAAAGGAAACAGTAAAATATCCCAGACATATCATTAATGTCCCCGACAACCTCGGACATTAAATAGTCCATCTGGATATGTTCAACTGATATGCATTACTTCTGCTATAAAACAAGTACTCATGCAAACACATTCACTTAATTGTGTCAGCATACACAAAACAAGTAAAATCATTTCATTTGGTTATTCATGGATGTACACAAAAAGTGATTTACATTCATGATTAACAATCATCGATTACATACCAGCATATGATGGAAGCATTAATCTCCTCCACAATCTATAACTTTTACTTAATAAAATGACAAAGTCGGCGGGATATTCACTTTTTATCAATGGACATGCTTCTAGTTCAATGCTTTTTCATCAACTAAACTACAATAAAGAAGATTTTTCAGAGGTCTTGAACTCACATCCCACCTCAGCTGATCAAGTAGTTGAACAAATTCTGTAAATGCACCCTTAACCAGTTTGCGCCGGGATTATTTTGACAAGAACGGAACGAGGCGTGGGATTACCTTTCACCCGACCTCATGCCAGGCGGGTTGAAGCCATCATCCTCGGGCAGCACACTCATATTCCCAGCCTCGCTCGCTGCAAGCGGGTCTGAGACAGATATTTCCGGCCTCGCTCCCTTCGTGTTTATCCGTCATCCGTTCCAAATACCGCAACACCTTTGCGGGTATACATGGCCTCTGGCATGAACTGCTTAAGGAGAATTTTTTCGCCATAAGTAACAGGAAGACAAGGTAGATTAAGGAGACATTTCAATATCTCCCTAATGTCACAACTCCTATTTAGAGGCAAAATGTTCTGGTCACAAAAAGCTAGATTGATTGCTCATGGTCCAGAACATAAATGTACCAAAATTTGTTGGGGAAGGATAAGGTAACATGGGGTTTGGGGTCATGTACGACCCTGTAGCAATGTCTCCCTACCCTACCATTCTCGTTAATAATAAGAACTGTTTTGTTTTTAATCACAATAAAATCTATAATTTAACTCAATATTACTGGCAATTCAACTCAAGTTACATAACAAGTATAGGTTTTCCTGGCTACTGTAAAACAATTTTTCATTCAAATTCACCAACTCTAACATTCAATTTCGTCCGAGAAAAAAATTCACAAGCTTTTACCAAAACTATTTTAGTCATCTACTATTCAATTTTAAAGTTTGGTTACCCTCTTTAGTCACCGGGTTGAGAATATTCGACATTACAGATCAAATTCGTCAAAGCTGTTGCCAAATGGCAGCATTCAGAGATCAAATTCGTCTTATGTAAATCAATTAGATGAATTTGATTTCTGAATAACAAGGTTTGTCGTAGACGAGACGAAATTGAATACTCCAGGACGAAAACATGAGCACATTGTTTAAATTTGCTTGAACTGAATTTGAAATTGTCTGACAAAAGACGAAATTAAACATTGGAAGTGCACTAAATCAAAGTTAATGGACATATTTGAATATAGAAACGGTGAATTCGAATGATAAACGTTTTAAAATAGCCGGGGAAACATATATTACAATTCCTCCGAAAAACAAACAAACAAACAAGGAGTACCATTCTAACAACTGTTTCTTTTGCAACTTTAGCTTTACATCTTTCAATATTTTGAATGTACATTTTCTTCAGCTTTTTCTCTTAAATTAAATTCTAATGAGTACGTGATAAAATGAAGTACTGCTTTCTCAACCTACATACACCAGAACACTCTATCGTGTGCATAGATGTGTGTTTAATTTTCACGTACACAAAACTACTTGTGAAGTGTCCTCTGCATAAGTTTTTGGAAACATTTCGCATCATAGATTATAGATTTTCCTCTATATACTGTTTTCTGTACAAAAATCAACTAATTTTTTGGTGATAACATATAAATATATCAAAGTTGTACAAAATAGACTTGTGTTTGATATTAGTACACAGGTCGTCTGAGTTGTTGAAAGTTAATTTTTTTAATGCAAGATTTTTTTGGGCCGAGCTGTTAAAAGTTCAGAACAGCATTCTCAAGGCAAGCTCATAAAACAAAAATTATGCAATGAAAACAAGAATTTTTGATGAAGTCAATTTCTTCAGACGTGCAAGTTATAAAATATAAATACTGTATGCAGTGGTTTTTGTAGAAAACTAAAGAAGTTGTCAAAATATACTTTCTGACCGTAATAGTGTTAAAAAATAGAAGAAAGATTTGCGGAAGAAAAATGCGTAGAAAACAACAACCTGGTTAGTTTGTTCGAAATGGGCAGGATTCACAGAACTGTTATCTCAGCCATTGAGCATGTTGAACAGAGCACACTACCACGTGTCGGCCAATAGTTCTGCTGTGTACCAGCACGGACATGTGGAGTCACACGCACAGGGCAAAACTGCACGCGCAGTAGACTTTTTTCTATGCACATTTTCACTCCCGTTTGTGTCCTTTGGAAATTGACGCCAATTTTAAAATCTAGGCCCAACTACTCGGCTGACATGCAACCATAGAGCTATATTAAATTACTAGAGCGCTAAATCATGTACAAAGTGATGCCTGCTGGGCGCATCCATGTTTTTACACAAAGCTATGGAGAACTAGACATTTTGTACGTATTTTGTACGTCTATTTATATAGATACGCCAAAAAACGAAACACACGATCAGCAAATGAGCGTGTCATTTTGCTCTACGCAAACACGGCAACGCGTGTGCGTATCCGCTGCAGCCTTGATTAACCGTGTTATTTTTTTAACCGTAACATGCGTAAGAAGTTTGCGTACGTTCTACTTGGCGCGTTGCATTTAGAGTACACTTTCAAAATTCAATCCATCTAATTTCATTGTGTTCTACAAACACGCACATGAATTGAAAATATCTGCGCCCAGAGCGACTTCAAAGCGTCTCCATGCGCAAGAATGAGGAGTTAGCGCTCTAGTAATTTAATATAGCTGTATGTATGAAACAGACTGAAAGCGTAGTAATGCAAAGCAGGTGTTAACAGTATCATCACACGACAATACTACATAAATAGCACATATATATCAAATTTAAAACAATGAAACTCTCATAATGCAAGGCCACTGAGGAATCACATCTTATAATGATGTGGACTGGCCTTTCCCAACGTCCTCGAAGAGATCAAAGTAGTCTGGTACCGGACCCTCCTGCCCGCATGGTTCCCTCAGGATTTCCTTGCCGTGCTCTGAGATTGGTATGACCTGTTGGATTCAGAGAAACCAGACTAAAAGGTGAAAAAAACTGAAGTGCAATGTTTACCTTTTGAAACTAAGCTGGAACAGAGCAGTAATGAATCATTTCAACTTGTGTTTCCCGTACCAGGTATTTTCGAGTCTCATCACGAATAAGTGATCCTCAGTTCGCGTGTGTCGCCTTTTTCAGCGGTCAATCCCTATATGTTTTGTCTTCTAAAAAAGTCATTTTTTTTGTCGTCATCAAATTATTTGCAGCGATTTGCCTTTTGCGGACGTGTCAGAAACCACATTTGTTGTGCAGTACATGTCACACAATATATGACCTTTCACAGCGCGCTAAATTTTATGCAAGTTTCCACGCAACGATCGACCAATAAGAAAACGACGTTTAAGGTCATAGGCTATTAGCAAAATGAGCACAACCACAAAAACCTCACATGGACGATTGGATTAAGGCGTAGTCTCGGTCCAAATGATTTGCATATAAACAGTGGCCGCATGAGGTCACTGTTCGAGCTGTCAGTCAGCGCGCGGCGAGGATATGCTGCCGAAATATCATACGGACGAATAATGGTGAACGCCTTGACCAAGGCTATCAAAATCCATGAAAGCATGCAGAAATTATACATGTTTTTCAAAACTTTAACATACGGGTCTATGGTCTTACAGCAGTTAGGACTGGTGTCTCATAAAACTTTGTTTAGGACGAGACAAAAATGTTATTCAGATATTTGGTGGTTAATCAAATATTTGGGTATTCCGTTTATTCAGGATAGGCTTAAAGGCAATGTACAACATTTGCTTTTGCTGCAATTTTCAGAAATAAATGGATTTGGAGGATTAGTATGTGACTTGTTTCACGTTTTGGGCTTGTAGATGCTGGAAAAACAAAGAAAACCATTCATGTTCTTGCAGTCTGGTTCCCTGACCCCACTAAAGATGAAACAGAGAATTTATAGACCTTGGGAAATTGTAAAGTCAGAGAATCAGTCTAGCAGACTTGTACCCCTTCACGGGTGTGTTATCAATTGAAAAGAAAACGCGGAATAACTAATTATGAAAAATTAGGAGCAGCTTTTGAAAAAAGCCAGTTTTCTCCAACGCTGGTCGGCCGACCAGCGTTGGGAAAATACCACTTTTCTTGAAAATGTCAGCACACCAGGAGCCACGATTTTACAGGATGCTTGAGACTGTCATTCCCTAACAATCCAGTAAAGTATTTTCTGATAATTTGATCATTTCGTTTTGTGATGTTTGCAAATGTTGTATCTTCCCTTTAACAGTAATCAAAACAATTTTACCTTGTGATAAGTGATGAGATCCCCCAGCCTGTTATGGACGGAGTGTTGCTGGGAGGGGTCAGCCCCGAAGAACTGATACGTCTCCCCCGACGCGTCGATGAGGAAATGCTTGACTTTATCATCGTGAGCTCGGTAGGACAAGACGTAACCCCAGACCTTCTCCGAGACTCGGACTAAGAAAGAGCCTGGTTTCTTGTCTTGGAGGAGTTCGTTGGCTCTCTCGCGCGGGATGACTCCTAAATAGAAATGGGTACAGATACTATCTGTTGATAAAACCATGTCCTACTTTTGATCCTAAATAACTCTTTGTCATTTACCAATGAAATTAAACCAAAATCTCAGGTCATGTAAACAAGCATGACAAATTTATGGAGCGAGTTTCATCAGCTTTGTGCAAGAGGGTGAGATTTAAACGCCATACGGAAAAAATATCAGTTTTAGAATCTGCCATTTTGACTTGATGTCTTCCAATGCTGACGGCGGTGGCGGAAGGCGCGTGCTGCAGCTGAAAGCTTCTGAAGGAATGCAGGATCACCCCTGATGTCATTGCACACCTCCTCCATCGTTTGGCACAACACACGATCGAGGAGGTGGGCAATGACAGCAGGGGTGATCCTGTATTCCTTCAAAAACTCTCAGCAACAGCATGTGCCTTCCGCCACCGTCTCCAGCGCTGTATCGACATTCTAAAAGTGAGTATTTTTTTTTCGGACGGCGTTTAAATCTCACCCTCTTGCACAAAGCTGATGAAACTCGCTCCATAACATTTGTCATGCCTTGTGTACATGATCTGAAATTTTGATTTACATGTAATTCCATTGGTAAACAACAGAGTTATTTAGGATCAACAATAAGGCTTTTTTTTTTTTTTTACATGTAGTACAACACGTCTAGTTCAAAGCAATAAAGTACAACGCCAGGATTTGTTCGCCAATACAGACCTACACCCCTTTTTGATCTCAGAAATGCAATGATCGATTTCACAAACTTTGGTAGGCAAGTACATGTACATGTAGTAGAAACACTAATGCTTAGTCTATATTTACAAATTTTAATTCAATCGGACAAACTGTTTTGTAATTATGGTCGTTAATATTCCATGCTTCTGTCTGTGAATGAGTGGATTTTCCGTTTATTTCTTGAATGTGGTCATGGGAGGGGTGACCACTGCCTCAATCCTGCAAAATCCTCCAGCAATCACTGTCAATATGTTGAGGCCGAGCCAGTGACATCCTGGAGCAGTGCGGAGGATTTCAAGTATAATCTAGGCGGCATAGAATTTATGCACAGCTGAGCATGAACAACACAAGGTCCGGCCCAAGACCTCGACACAGTCCATCAAAAATCAGCCACACATTTTTGCTGTATAGCCTGCAAAATCCTCCATTTTGCAAAGAAGTTTTTGGAGGTTTTGGGACGGTTAGGGTTAAGTTAATACACAAGGCTAGTCACAAGAACTGGGGTTGAACAATAGCAAAGGAATGCCTCTATCACATTTCATTGAATAGCTTATAGGGTGACTTGGGACTGATATGACTTGTGATTGACTTGTGATCTAAAACTCCGGCCAAACTGACATCGCACAACTCGTCAAATCGCTCAAGTCGGCCGTCTGAATTAAGTCCCGATTGTCCGTAATGCATTTCCATTGAATTTTTAATTTCTTAATCGGCTTTTATAAGTCGCCATTTCGCTCAAGTCGTCGTGTTACTCTCGGTCCCCTTTCCATAAAAAGCATTACAAACTCCTTTGTGTAAGTTGGCATTCAAAACATCGACTTCCTGTACTGCAGTTGGCAAGAAGTGTCGAGTGAAAAGTGGTTTGGCACGGCCCGTGATCGCTGCATGCATCAGTGTCGCAAAAGGGTGTCCTACTGCATACATCGCATGTGCATCGTGAGCATATCAATACCAGTACCCCCTCTCGTCTGAACACATGCGCTCTGTCCATTTTGGGGGTCGTCTTATTGAATGACTAGTGCTGCAGTCAATGCGTGCGTGGTATACCGGACCACGCACGCATTTAATTTGTTACTGTGCACGTACTTTGTACACGTGGTCTCCACTTTCAATATCCCAAACGTGATGATACAATTCGAGGATTAATTTGCTGGATTCAACTCAAGCATTAAGGAGATAAACCGGGGTAAATCGAAGCCAATTAGTGCAGTGAATCGTGTGTGCAAAAGACCATTCATGTAAGTCGGCAAAATGACGATTTACAGCAGATGTCGGCATTCGCGTAAGTTGTCGCAAATTCTCGGGTCCCGAGAGTGCCGATGATGGGCAAGTTCGCGCAAGGACTATAGTTAACCATTGGTCGACTAACGCTTGCCCGAACTCTGTCTAGTCGACGATGGTTGACTACGCTAGTCGACTATTTGGAACCAGCCTACTGGGGTTGGTTACTTCGCTGGTAACCAATAGCTGCGCGCATTCATAACGCTAGCAGAGAGCCAGGATCCAGAAGTTTTGCAATGACATTTTGACCAGTGTTTGACTAGAGACGTTCGCACTTTGCTATTAGTGCGCAGGCGTAAGGTACGTCACAAATCAACCACTAGTCGACTAATGGTCCTTGCCCGAACTTGGCTTTCGCCGGAGTTGACTGTACCGGTACTCACCATGGAACCATTTGGCAGGCCTGCTGCCGTTGATATCCACACTGATCCCTGCTTGCTTGCGATACTGATCATCCTTATACCAAGTAACGACGTCGTTTCTGTTGACTGGCTGCGATGGTCTAGGCATGCCACTGGCCGGTCTAATAATAATAATAATAATAATAATAACAAAGTTTTATAAAGCGCACATATCCACCAAGGTGCTCAGGGCGCTATTACAATGAAAACGAAACAAAACAAAATCAGTTTAATTACGAAAAAAACGGATCTTTCGACATGAGGTGTGTTTTGAGAGATGTTTTGAATGAGTGAATAGAAGTGGAGGTTTTGATATGAAGAGGTAGTTGATTCCAGAGATGTGGTGCTGCAACAGAGAAAGATCTGTCCCCCCAGGTACGATGAGATTTGACTTCTTGAAGAAGATATTTATTTCCAGATCGAAGATTGCGAGATGGTTTGTATATATTGAGCATGTCCAGGATGTACGCAGGTGCTTGCCCATTAAGTGCTTTGAAGACAATGAGCATCAGTTTGTAGATGATTCTAGACGATATTGGGAGCCAGTGAAGATCCAAAAGGACAGGTTTTATATGGGAGTGTTTTGTCGTTAAAGTGACCACACGTGCAGCAGTGTTTTGTAGGCGTTGGAGGCGGGATAGCTGAACATCTGGAAGCCCAAATAAAAGTGAGTTTCCCATATCAAGACGAGATGTAACAAAGGAGTGGACAATCTGTTCTGTGGAAGCGCGATCAAGATATTTTCGGATCTTTCCTATGTTGCGGATGTGAAATGAAGCAGAGCGAACTGTGTTAGAAATGTGATTTCTAAATGAAAAAAAGTATCGTTTATCATGTTTATAGTTTTTGCAACTCACCACAGTACTCCATGGCTACCGCCAAACACAATAGTTTGACAATGGCATACGGCTGTGACTATTCACCACAGTGAGACAATGGCAACAACCAAAGCCTTAGTCGTAATATACCAAAATGTTGTCTAAGGCTATAGCTATTCACAGTGCGACAATGGCTATAACTAAAGCCATGGCTGCAAATATAGTTTATTTTTTCTACGGCTTGAGCTATTTACCATTGCGTGACAATTGTAATTTATAAAAATTCTAGCCACAAAATATCTGAATATTGTGCATGGCTTTGGCTATTCTTTATAGTTAGAACATGGCCATAACCAAGGCCATAGCCATAAAATACCCGAATGTTGTCTGTGGCTATGACTTTTTACCACAGCACACTTAAAGAGGCGTGCGATGAATTTTTCTTAAAAATACTTTTTGTGCAACTTTGTACTCCTCTTAAATGTATGAAAACAATTTGACATCCCTTTTTGGTAAATCATTTTGAAAAGTATGTACTTCTTTAAACATTTAAAATTGTCTATGCTTTTCCGGACAACTGAGGGCGCTGTTGCTGTGATGTCATTTCAGGAAGACACTGTTCAGTTTAGGGGGTTTTCTGTTCAATTTGTGAACCCAAAAGTTGCTCATTGAAAACATTTTGTGAGAAAAGTTTGCTCGTTGGCTTTCTGCCATGTACTGACACAACAACTAATCACCAAAGAAAAAGAAAATTTACAACAGCAAAATATTCAAAATCCTGGCGACTTTTTGTGCTGAAATAGCTGTAACATTGAGGTTCCTGCGTGAATGACATCACAGTTTTGCTCATGAATATGGAAATTTTGCAATTAGCATGAAACAAAAAAGCACCAAAATACCCTTGAAAATGGAAAAACGAAAATTGAAAATAAGGTTAAATGGGACACCAAGATGCAATTTCAAGGATTGCATTACAAAAACTACATTGCATGGGTCCTTTCAGCTAAAAACACAAAACCACAGCCAAAAATACATCAATCCTTAACAGCCTACCTTATAATAGGTTTCTCCTCAGGTGCTAGCCCTTGTTTGTATATCTCATCCAACGTTAGATTTTCAAAGTTTCCACTAAGTCTTGATCGTCGGATTTCCTCCCGAGCCCATCGCGCTCTCTGACTACGCTCAGTGTCAGCACGCTTCGATCTTCTCACTGTCCGAAAAGTTTAAATTGGAAATATAAATCAATTCCTTATGAAATAAATGCTTTGAAATACGGTAAGACTAAATATAAAACACACTGAAATGTGGTATGTTGCATATCTGGTCAGTGTTGCAATAAAACAAAGACTTATCTTAAGTCGCCAAGTGAACTAGTTAAGAACTCTAAAAAGCCAACATTTTAAAGGTAATATACAACATTTGCTTTTGCTGTAATTTTCAGAAATGGATGGATTTGGAGATTGGTAGCCTATTTCATGGCAAACATTGTTACACTGACCCGTTTAAAGCGTTGTGTTCATATAGATGATGGAAAAACCAAGAAAAAATTCTGTTCTTGTAGTCTGGTTCCTAATTGACCCTACTTCTGACAAAACAGAGCAATTTATAGATGTTGCAGAATTGTAAGGTCAGGGAACCAGACCAGCTGGCTTGCACCAATCACGGATGCGTAACCGATTGCAAACAAATTGAACTAACTAAAAAAGCAAGTTTTTTTAATGATGGTCAGCCAACCTTTGCTGGAAATTGATATAAAAATTGCACTTTTCTTAAGAATGTCAGCACACCGGGTGCCATGATTTTACAGGATGCTTAAGACCGTCATTCAGTAACAGTCCAGTAAGGAATTTCATAACAATTTGGTAGCTTTGTTTGTTTCATGTTTGCAAATGATCGTGTAGCCAAAGAGTAAAATATCAGCTTTACAAAATATAATCATAAAGAAATACTGTAAACCACGGTTGTTAAAAATCCAGATATTTTCATTTTTCAATAAAAACGAAACAAAATCAGATTTTATTCGAGTTGTTTTAAAATATATTTTTTTTCTTTGTAAGAGTTCAGTATCCGAAAAAATTGTTTGTCATCTTCAACATTTAAATCAAACAACCCTGCTGAAAACTTCAATAAAAACAAATTAAAAGTGCATTCACATATTGTTAAATTTTGTACACCTATTGTAGCATGTCTGTACATGCTCATGCATTGTACCGTTATGTGAATGTAAAGTCAACAGGTTAGATTTCCTTTTCCTGTACTCACAAATATATCAGCTGTGAGATGCAAGCAGGAAACAAAGCGGAAAATTATCTAGCTATATGCAACAAGACCCGACTACTGACATGTTTCAAATTAAAGGGAATGTACATCATTGGCTTTTGCTGTAATTTTCAGAAATGAACTATTTGAGAGGTTAGTATAATAGATCAAATATTGTTTAACTGACATGATTGAAGTTTTGTGTTCGAAAATACTGGAAAAACAAAGAAAAACAAAAATTTCAAGTAGACTGGTTCCCTGACTCCACTAAAGATAAAATGGATCATTTATAGATGCCGGAAAATTGTAAGATAATGGAACCAGTCTAACTAGCTGCACCCGTTCATGAACATGTAACCAATAATTTGGACTGAAAAAATTGGTAAATTTGGAGCAGTAGTTGAAAAATAGTTAGGTTTTTCCAATGGTGGTCAGCCGACCACCGTTGGAAATTTATACAAAATACCACTTTTCTTGAAAATGACTTCACACTTGGTGCCATAATTTTACAGGATGCTTTAGACTGTCATTTACCAACATCCTAGCAAGTATTTCGTAAAAAAAATGGTAGTTTTGCTTTTCGATGTTTGCAAATGTTGTATATTCCCTTTAAATTCAGTGAAAATGGTGTTTTTCTATGAATAACAATCTGCTTTGATGATACAATATGTAAATTAAATTTCAACACTCAAAATATAATTTCATTCTCTGATAATCTAAACTACATTAAAACCCTGACTCCCTAGCATGATTTACTAGGAACCATACCCATCCTTACAAATTCCAACACCATATGGGAAACTGCACACACATATTTCTGACTTTGATTCTTGAGATGTGCCAACCCAATGTAAAAGACTGTCAGTTTAGGGGTACTGTACCCATCCTGACAGATTCCAACAAAACATGCTGTTGGAGTTTGATGGGTTGAGTTCTGTTAGGGTTAACTTAAAAAGATACATAGAAATAGATATTGGCAATTCCACGGTTACGAAAATGTAACGTGAGTAACCGATTTTGTGCGTCTCGTTTATCATACATAACACATTTTTCTGGATGTCATCTATGGTGCTTAGGTAGGTCTAGGTCTACTCTATCTACCATGGGGATAACAGTTATTAAACCTTTTCAGTAAGGTAATTACAGCCCAAGGAAACTCAAAAGTACATCAAAAATGTAACGTGAGTAACCGTGGAATTGCCCACATGTACATGCAGTTACTGTACAGCTAAGAAATCCCTCCCCCACCCTTTTACCGTAGGTAGCAGGTTTCATTTTCTGTTCCAACAAAATCACAAAGATATGTATTTTGATGCTAATCCTTTTGAAATATTTGTGTGGCCCAGATTGACAATGAGAGATCTGGATATATGTGGGACAGAGGTCACTGGAATAAAAGAGGTCGACAGATCGACTGTCATTTCATAAACCAGGAAATATCTGCAATGGATTCAGCATGCATCATTGCGGGCCAGGGTACGTAAACAAAACAGGTAGGCCTATTGTAAGCATTTAAAACCCTTAAATAGGGATTAAGTACACAAGGAAATGATAACAGAGAGTTCATGTAGTACATGGAAATATGTGGACTTTTGTATTATATATGGAGCACGGATGCGAACAAATTACATGTACATGTAAAACAGGACGTTAAAGTTACGTTGCCGTGCTATTTTCATGTTTCATCCCTAAAAATAAATTCTTTTCCATATCGCTATTTTTCCAGCAATACAAAAGTTATTCACATTTTAAAGGGAATATACATGTACATCATTTGCTTTTACTGTAATTTTCAGAAATGGATGGAATTGGGGGTTGGAAATATATAGCAAATATAGTTACACTGACTTTTTTGAGGTTTTGGGTTCGAAAATGCTATAAAAACCAAGAAAAACGATCGTTTTCCTGAAGTCTGGTTCCCTGACTCCATATAAGAAGAAAAAGAGCAGTTTACATACAATGGGGAATTGTAAGGTCAGGGAACCAGTCTAGCTGGCTCGTACCCGTTCATAGATTTGTAATCGATTGCAAACAAGTGCGATGGTCAATTGGGGCCAGTATTTGAAAAAAGGCCAGTTTTTTCCAACGCTGGTCGGCCGATCAGCATTGGAAATTGATACAAAAATACCACTTTTCTTGAAAATGACAGTATACCAGGTGCCATGATTTTACAGGATGCTTTACACAGTGTCATTCACTAACAGTCCAGCAAGGTATTTCAAAATGATTTGGTAGTTTTATTTTTTGATGTTTGCAAATGTTATATTTTCCCTTTAAGTGCAAGTTAGAATTTATAATCAAATACTCAATTACTCGTAACTGCACAGCCCTAAGAGTTCAGATATGAGTTTCGTTATAAAAACAAAATGAACTTTCACATTTGCCAACTCACATTGAACTTTCCAGATGTCTTCGATTTTGTCTCGATCCTTCTCAGCCATATTATTCTTATCCTCGTCCGTTTTCTTCAGGCCGTCGTACAGCTGTTCCACCCTGTGTTTCAACTCCGTCTTGGATTGCTTTTCCCTCTCTTCCAGGGCTTTCCGTTCTTTCTCCTACAGAGGGAGTAAGCAAACCAATTGGCATGGCGTACTTGACCTCAATGATAAATATTAGGACCTGACGCTGGAGTGAGTATTAGGACTTGAGTACTAGAACTCGACCTTGCGTGTCAGAACTCGAAATTGAGTTCTGGAATACAAAAAAATTAAACAAATCATGCAGTCGTGAATTTCTATACGCCAGAGGACAATGCTTTGTGTTTCCCTTTTTCACAGTAAACACTCTCCCATAGACTACGCACATAACCATATGATCAAAGACCGTTTTTCAACAAAAGACCCAATGCTCAAGGACAGAAAGGATCTTTTGTTCTCCTTTTGTGTGTCTGTCCTCTATCGTAAAGCCAAACATGTGCATTATTATTGACCTATAGGCCAATGTACACACACGCTACTTTGTCGTGCCACAATGTTGCACGTGTTTATAAACACACACAAACAATATGAGTGTGTTTTCATTTATGCGTCAAGGTTGTGTGACTTATCGCGCAACTATTTTTAATCAAATTCAAAGTGATTTTGTCACGCGACACAAAATGTCCGATACCTATCTCACATAAACCCTACGCCTGACAAGTGATTATTTCTAAAGGATCGCGGAACATATCGCTGTGGTCCAATGGTTACAGTGTTCGAAACACGTGCTGCGGTACGTGGGTTCGAACCCTGACGGGGAACATGGTGCTTGTGTTCTTGGGCAAGACACTTTACTACAATTGCCTCTCTCCACCCAGGTGTATAAATGGGTACCTGTGAAGGTAGAGACTAGAATGCGCTGATCTCGAGCTGCTGCAATAACTGGTCTCATCGCCTGATGAACAGGGGTAATAATTGTAAAGTGCTTTGAGACCGTTGGTATAAAGCGCGGTAAGCACATTATTATATTGTTACTATAAATATTTGTTCGCACACAAGTAAATACCGGTACGACGCTGCCGCGCGACAAACTTGTTGCGACTAAATTGCATACACGTGTGGAAATAGGCCCTTCATGATTAAAAATTATAAAAACTCAACAGTGAGTGCTGAGCTTAATATTGAGAGCTAGGACTCAAAAGTGAGTTTTAGTACTTTATTATCACAAGTACTAGAAAATTAGTACTTTAACCCCTTAAGGAGGGGTGTAATGGGGACATTCCTCCACACATAGAGCAAGTGGCCCGCATGACTGCACAGCCTTTGTGTGGGAGCGGGACTGCACAAAAGCAGCAGCTGTGGAACTACCCACTAGCCGTGTGCCACGGCATACCACAGCTGGCAACTGCATTCCAATGAGGATTAGCGGCCGCGGCCATGACCGCTTCCCGGGCCCATGGGGTTAAGACTACACATGTATCTTTCAAGCCTTTGACAAATTTGAAACAAATTAATGTATTTTCGTTTCCCATTCTGAAATCAACCCTGATGGTGCTGAGACACATTAAAGAGGTTGTGGAATGCTCGAAGACATTTCCGTCATTTTTTGGGTATATGTAGCCTAAGGTGTGATGAAATAAAAACGACTATTGTTTCTGTCATGAAATGAGTACAAAGGTTACTTTTGAGAGCTATTTTTCAGGTCCTGTTTCGACCCGAACGTGCAATTTGTGTAAAAGTCGTCGTTGCGGGCAGCAAACAAAACACAGTAAATCGTGACGTTATAAACAGGACTCGTTTATGCTACTCTGCATCGGGTCAAAACAGGCATGACAGGACTTGAAAAACAGCTCTCAAAAGTACCTTTTGTACTCATTTTATGACAGAAACAATAGTCGTTTTTATTTCATCACACCTTAGGCTACATATATCCGAAAAATGACAGAAATGTCTTCGAGCATTCCACAACCTCTTTAATGATATGGTGCTTTAGATGGTAAGCCCTACATCATAGTACCTACATGTACATCGAGGTAGTTCCTTGGGTTATAACATCCTACTTACTGTCTGTAGTCTGATTTTCTTGGCCTTTTCAGCAAGCTCCCTGGCCTGTCGATCTTTCTCCTGCTTCTCTCGTTCTAGCTGGTCCCTCTTTCTCTTTGCGGCTTCCATCGATGCTCTCCTAGCCTCCTGTTCTTCCTTCTGCCTCACTGCCAACTCCAGTCGCTTTTTCTCCTCCTGTTTGAGCCTTTCCTCCTCTTTTCGTCTGGCCTCTTCTTCCCGGGCTAGCCGCTCCCTCTCCTCAGCCGCTGCTTTCTGCCACTTGACTTTCATCTCTTGGAGTCTCTGCTCTGCCTCCTCTGCGGCTTTTCGTCTCTTTTCTTCCTCGGCTTGCTCTTGCGCCAGACGTTCCTTCAGTTCCCTCTCCGCGGCCTCTTCCTGCTTGATGCGTTCCTCTTCTTCTCTGGCTTTCCTTTCGATTTCTTCCTGCTCTCTGGCAAGTCTCAGCTGCTCCTCTCGGAGGATGCGTTCTTCTTCTTCTTTTCGTCTTAGCTCTTCTTCCTCTTTTAGTCTGTTTGAAATGAAAACAAAAGACACCAGTTTTACAACTTAATCATTATAAAATTGAACTTTTTTTTTACTGGAGCGGGGTTAATATATTAACATTTAATATAAGTACTTGCTCTATAACACGCCGTCGAAATCTCATGTTTGAGAGGACCAATTCTGCAAAAAGAAAACTTTGACATTTTAAGCACTGCATCGCGCGTTAAACACATCGACTGCAGTCCTTGAAGGTCACTGCTTATTTACATACATTTACATACATTTGCAGTGAGTTTTGCTCATGACTAGAGCGACGTCTGAGATCAAGTCGCTCCCGAATCATTCTAAACGACTCCGACAGTCGATCTTTCGCCATCTTGCACATCTAGTCGCTTGTAATTGTTTCAGACATCAAACTTTTCATGTACTTAAAAAGACTTTCCATGAATTGTCATTCGCACACGACCTGTCATTTCCCAGAAACAAAGAGGAATTGAAGCCCGTACGAATCAGTGAAACTTTTCTCTTGCAAGTTGCATGAAAAGAATTCGGTCGCGCACAGAACCCTGACTCTTCAGTTTCCGTACAAATGGTACAAGCCATACGAGACAATCATCGGCATCGGTCTGCTCAAGAAATAGACAGGTATAACGAAGGGCTCGTGCCATTTTGCACATAAACAAGTCCGGGTACGGTGCCCCGAGAGAATTTTTCATGCTCCTGCATCGGGCTCCAATTTTCATCTTATTTCTGGGGGAAAAAAATGACAGGACCGGTGCGAATTTCCAATTTGCGAAAATAAAAATGTAAGTACTAATCGGGTGCAATTTCAGCTCAGAAAACGTCAGATGGGATTAAAGATAAATAGAAATTCTTGACGTTTCTCTGATGGCAACAGAAACTTCAGTTCGCCCACTGGTTTTGAGCTTTAAATTTATAAGATCCTTCTTCAAATTACAATGTTAATTGATTGTTCGGGGAATTGAGCTATCCATCCATTTATAAGATGGTCAATCTGCTGTAACTTTACGAGAGTCACTCGTTCGTCGCACACACTACTTACGCCGCCATGATTGGTGGAGATATATATAAGCCCCGCCCACTTTCCAATCCCTTCTCTCACCTGGCTGCCTCTGCTTCTTTCCGAGCAATCTGATTGGCTTTCTCCAGACGCTCCCTCTCTAAGACGTCTTCAATCTTGAAATCCGAGGGATGGTCTCCCATCACCCATACCCATTCATTGTTGTCTGCACCTAGAAGCCACCCGACTGACTTTCCGTCTGCAATAGAAAAAGAACATTTTTGTATCATCCCTTTTAGTATTGAAAATTTTCATAAGAAACCATGATTTGGGTCTTAACCAGTTCTTAGGCCAAAAAAAAAAAGTCTCCAGTTTCTGGTATGGAGCTTGCCCAAAAAGTGGTGCGGCGACGCGGCTTTGTTTTTTTTTTTACCCGACTTTTTTGCTTCAAATGTCGGCTGATGACTGCAAATGGTGCCCGACTAAATAGGCCTATATGGGATTGGGAGTCCAGAGAGGCCACATAAAGCTTATTCTCGACCATAACCCCATCTAAAAACACGTTAAAAATGTGCAGCAGCAGGATTCCAGTCAAACCAGTGAGTTTGGCGGTTTTGAGACATCATCTTTCATTGAAAAAAAAACTTTTTCATTTTGCCGACGCGCATGGCTACAGCGACGCACGCGCGCATACCAGAAACCGGAGACTTTTTTTTTTTGGCCTTAACCCCAAAATGCCGCTAAACCTGTTTTCCAGAGAGGGCGAAACGTTATGTGGACACGGCTTAGTCCACATAACGTCAACACAACCTGCATTATGTGGACATCTTTTGTTCACATGTCCACATAGTGAATGTAAGACAAACTCACCCTTGTAAACACCGGCAAGTTGGACGCCCCATTGTCCCTAATCCTCATTCCTTTGTTCGTACTTTTGAGAAACAGCTCTCATTGGTTTTGTACATGATTTGAGATCGTGGACATTCGGTCAATTGTCAATCGTGGACCCTTTGTTTGTGCCCTAACCCTTTTGTCCCTAGTCCACGATTGCCAGTGTTTACACATGCAGACACACGCACGTTTGTTTATGGTGTAAATCGAGGATTTTCTATTGTTCCTCTTACCTTTTCCTTTGTTTGTACTCTTTAACCTTTTCAATAGCTCTCATTAGTTTTGTACACTTTTGCTAATCGAGGTCGTCCTCGATTTAGTTTCTGTCCTCAATTCATCGATGATGTTGCATGTGTGTGTCCTCAATTTACACCATAAACACGCGCACGCAAACGTGTATTTGCCTAACATCGGGACCCCCTTGTTTGTTTGTACTTCAAAAAAATAATTCTTTGTCAGTTTCTCTTTTCATTGGTGACCCAACATGCGACCCGACCAGTGATCGACTTGAATACTAAATCTGCAATTGACATGTTTCTGAGGAATATATGGGCGTACACACAAGCATGACAAGTCATAGACATAATAAAACCTAGACGCGACATTTGCTATTGCGCCTGTGAGCAAAATGCTAAGCGTATAGAATAACTAAGAAGTATGCGCGTAAATCGAAGCCATATGCATGACATTCGCGCAACGCATAATTAAGCCGCGTGACGCAGCCCGTTTCGCTCACAGAATTTACAACGTAAAAGCAGATAATGTCGTGTCTAGGTTTTATTATATGTCTATGTGACAAGTTTGTGCCACGAACAGCGCCACCTGGAGTCAGGTGGTGTCCAGCCGCAACTCCTTTGTAAAATTTACAACGTTCCCGGCTCCAAAATTCTAACAAGAAATCACAACTGGCGACTTTAATCACGTACTGTACCTTTTTTCTTTTTCTTCTTTGCTTTCTTCATCTTCTTCTCATGCTCGGCCTCGCTGATCTTCCATCGTCGGACTTGCTCCTCTCGCATCTTACAGAAGAGGATTTCCCGTTGCTCGTCCGAGAGTTCCGCGAGGATCTCCGGATCTATGTACATGTCCTTGATTATCTGCTGCAACATCTTGGGATGTGGTGTGGTCACTCAACTCACAGGCAATACAAAATGTCCATCTACGGAGGCAAATATACATGTATACCGGTACATTGTTATAATAGAGAAACATTAAGGCAAAAAAAGCCTTGTGGTCAATGCGCACCATGCAATCCCATTTTAATAGTTATGGTGATGGTTCTTGTAGCCATAAAGACACTTCAATTCCTAAACACCCATTTCCAATACACTCTGTACGGTATATGGGTCATTCCACCGGGTTGGGGAACAATGTGGGACATATGACCATATTAAGAAAAGCATGAATGCCATGCTAGCAGTTGCTCTACAAAATATTTGTTGTTGGGTGTTTCACAACTGCAGAAAGTTTGAAATGATTTCAATGTATTTTGCCAAAAATATGAGCAAAAAATGTCATTTTTGATGTAACATTGACACCATGTCAGTGTTCAGGTGTTACGTCCAAATGTGACATTTAATTGTACCTTTTTAAAAAATTTCTGCGAAACATCACCCAAATTCACTTTGCGTACTTCTTACTATACATGCAACACAATAAGAAAAGCTTTTGTTACGGTAGTCAGGTATCAAATGGAGCAGAAATGATAGCTTGGTTGTGTGGATGTAACATTGACACGGTGTAAAACCCAATGTCACACTTCCATTGAGTGATTTTTACACCGTTACATCCACACTTGAGGTATTGTTTCAGCTATATTTGAACCTTGACTATACCAAAACAAAAGCTTTTCTTGGTGCTTAGGTGTCCAGTTGTAAATATGCAATGTCAGTTTGGGTAGGCCTAATATTTTACATACGTGTAAAAAATGGCAAAAAAAAATATTTGGATGTAACATTGACACGGTGTCAATGTTACATCCGAATTAATACATTTTTGCTCATATTTTTGTCAAAGTACTTTCAAATGATTTCAAACTTTCTCAAGTATTGAAACACCTTAAGACAAATATTATGTTGACATGGTTGAGCAATTGTTTAGAATGCATTGATACTTTTAATAATATAACCAAATATATGGATGTAACATGCACTGCTTCCCAACCCGGTGGAATGACCCATATAGCTCTGAACACGTCACTGAAGGAAGTGCATTGTGCAAACTACCCAAACAAATTTGTGTCCCGTGTGGAAAGCCAGCCCAGTAATCACAAAAAGTGGGCAACTCGAATTGGTCTATATAGCCGGTTGCAGAACCCACAAAATTCTCTTCAATAGTTTCAAAATGGGCTATTATTACTAGAAGCCTTTTCATGCATCTGGGGTACACAATAGGCAGGATTGTGCACATTATGGGGTAATCCTATATGATAGCACTGCCCGACTCGCTCCATCAGCCAATGACCTGACTACCGGTAGGTTCAGTGGAAGTCAGATCGGTCAGTCACTAATTCAGTCAGTAATTCGGTAAGTCGGGGGGATTTTTTTTGCTAGCCCTTTGGGACCAGAAAAAAATCAAACATACATATTTTGTTTGTTTACCTTGATGTGTCAACATCATGTTGACACAAAAGGAAAGTGAGTAAACAATTTAATAGCTCGACCAGACTAGAGGCTTGCCCAGAGTGCAGCTGGACTTAACTGAAAGTACCAGTTTAGCACAAACTCAGTGACTCGGTCGATCAGTCAGTCTGGTAGTCAGGTGACAGTACGCTGGCTTTGGGAACAAGCATAATTCTACCTCCATGAAACCAGCAACCAACAATATTTGATCACGTTTATACTCACAACTTAAAGGGAATATACAACATTTGCAAACATCGAAAAATAAAACTACCTAGTTTTTACGAAATACCTTACTAGGATGTTGGAAAATGACAGTCTCAACCATCTTGTAAAATTATGGCACCTGGTGTGAAGTCATTTTCAAGAAAATGGTATTTTTGTAAACATTTCCAACGGTAGTCGGCCGACCAGCGTTGGAAAAACCTAACTATTTTTCAACTACTGCTCAAAATTTACCATTTTTCTTTCAGTCCAAATTTTGTTTGCTATTGGTTACATGTTCATGAACGGGTGCAGGCCGGCTAGACTGGTTCCATTACCTTACAAATTTCCGGCATCTGTAAATTGATCCATTTTATATTTAGTGGAGTCAGGGAACCAGACTACTTGAACATTTTTGTTTTTCTTGTTTTTTCCCAGCATTTTCAAACACAAAACTTCAAACATGTCAGTCTAACAATACTTGATCTATTATACTAACCCCTCAAATAGTTCATTTCTGAAAATTACAGCAAAAGCCAATCATGTATATTCCCTTTAAGCACCGTCAATATCCGAATTTGAAATAATTTAATTGGAAATCCAATATTGAGAATATCCAATATATTGATTATCCCATATATGTGTAAAAGTTAAAGACCATAAAGCATTGTAAAGACGACACTTTGATTGTAAAAAAAAAAAAACCCAAACAATGTTTAGTCAAAATTTTCCATGGCTTTCTCTGGTGCATATTGTCTGGCACTTTGTCCAGAACGGGCGCTTTCTTTTGAGGTTTTACACTGGGACCGCAAATTCCAGCGAACGCAGAGCACAAAGCGACGCCTTGGCATTTCGTGATGGTTTTATTTTGAGTCACAAGTACAAGTTGCCGCCAACTAATATTATACAGCAAATGTTAAACAAAAGTAAAAGCACAAACGGGAGATTTATTTTGACGATAATCTGACGGATTTTCGATATCATTCCTCAATATCGATAATTTCGATATTTTGATATGATTAAAAAATTGCTATTGGCGATATTGATTTCAAAATAGTATCGAATAAATGAGCAAAATCGATGTATGGACGGTGCTTAGAGCAACTATGCACACGTATGGAGAACACAATAGTGCAGCCAGAGAACAGCAAAAACAGGAAGCTGAGAACAACATGTACCGGTATACCGGTGCCTTTGTCATGTGTGAGCTGGCCAACCAACTGAATCATGACCAAGCACAATGAATACACAAATCAGTACAATACAGGGCGATTAAAAAAAACGGAAACCCAAATGTCTGGACTATTATTTTAGTGAAGTTCTGCATGTAGCACTTTCAAAATCAAGGATATACATGTAAAAGCCCAATTCATAAGCTTTCTTTTAGTACAAGAACCATTCAAATCACTCATGTACCTTTCAAGTTTTCAAGGAATTTTAAGCACAAACACACAAAACGAAAACAATTTACATAGGGATGTGTGTCAATTGGTTTCGTTTTGCTAAAAGAGCACTTACCTTTTTTTGTGATCAGTGGACAGAAGTTTAAAATGGTGTTTGTGTTTAAAACGTAAAAAGTTCATGAGTGATTTGAATGATTCTTGTACTAAAAGAAAGCTTATGAATTGGGCTTTCATATCCTAGAATTTGAAAGTGCTACATGCATAACTTCACTGATAAAATGGTCCCGACATTTGGATTTCGATTTTTTTTTTTACTTGCCCTGTACATTATTAAAAAAAACAGTTCAAATAAATTAAGAAAGTAGGTTAAAATTCCTGTCAAAAGTGGGTTTCCTTCTTTTATGCACCACTCTGTAGTGCAAATATGGAGAACAGAATACAACAGCCAGAGAACACAGTACACAGGAAAATGAGTGCAACATACCTACATGTACATGTACGTGTCATGTGTATATGTCGGTCAACCAACTGAACCATGGCCAAGTGCAAAGAAAAAATATGCACATGTACACAAATCAGTACAATAAACACAGGAAGCACATTTCTTACCAGAAATAGCCGACACCTTACCCGCATATTTCGAACAATATCTACTTTTACCGACTACAAAAATATCCACTTTTAAGCACAACCATGTAATTCCTGAGTCAGATTTCCTTGTATAATTTGTCTGTGCAGAGGTCGACGTTTCTATGCTTATTCACAACAAAACAGTTTAATTTCCTGCCCATATCCTACAAAGGCCAAGATGGGTGCAATGTCCAGCCAAAACAGCCATGGGATCCTATCATGGCCAGGCCAATTCTTTGCTTTGTTTCTCCTACAGACATTTCCCTTGTTTCCTGCCTAATGTTCCGAAGGTCTTTTAGTAATAAGCAAAAACAATGGATCAAGTTAAAGGGCCATGACATATATTTTATTTGGAAGATATTATGTGCAACTTTCTATGACTCTTTGATGTATGAAAACTAGATTTGGCATCCGTTTTTGGTTAATCTTATTAAAAAGTGCACTTCTTTAAACATTATAAATTGTCCATGCTTTTCATAACTAATGAGGGCGCTGTTGCTGTGATGTCATTTCAGGAAGACACTGTTCAGTTTAGGGCTTTTCTGTTCGAATTGTGAACCCCAAATTTGCTCATCGAACACATTTGTGAGAAAACTTTGCTCATATTGGCCTACTGTCATATCAGTAAAAGAGTTGAGAAAATAGAAGAATCAGTCTGCCGCTGGGAAAATCCGCCATTTTGGAAGAAGAAGAAAAAGGAACAAAAAAGCACCAGCCTCGTTCATTTAAAAAAAAAAGCCTGGAGAAACGTTTAAAAAATTTTTACTCGGCCTACAATTCCCAAGCAGGATAATTGACTGCTATTGCAGGATAGGTTTCGGTCTATTTATTTTCATAGTACACGTTACTGATGCCTTATTCTGAGGAGTTTCCCCTTGAAATGAGTTTTCAGCTCCCATTTCCTTCCTTCTGTGTTTCCTGTCTCTGCATGATTTATTAACTTTCTGTTACAGTTGAACATTTTTTTTCCAAGAAAAATGGCTCGCAAAATGTTAATTGACAATTAAATGTATGGTACATGTACATTGTACTGTGTGTACAAGTATCCTTGATGCTCCTATATGCGCAGGTAAGGCTTTGCAACGCGCGCATGTTGTCAAACGCAAATTAAAGGTGAGTGCGTAGAAATAGGATCACGTGATTTTAAAGGGTCTGACGCTGTAGTGACATGCACAAATTATGTAAAACAGAGCTACATGTATTTTAAAGGGAATGTACAATATTAGCTTTTACTTCATTTTTGGATTTGGAGGATTAATATGTTATAGAAAATATTGGTAAACTGACTTGTTTCACATTTTGGGCTTATACATGTAGATGCTGGAAAAACTAAGAAAACCTATCATGTTCTTGTAGTCTGGTTCCCTGACCCCATTTAAGATGAAAAAGAGCAATTAATACACTTTGGGGAATTGTGAAGTCAGAGAATCAGTCTAGCAGGCTTGTACCCCTTCACAGGTGTGTGATCATTTGCAAAGAATAACTAAACATGAAAAATTAAGAACAATTTAAAAAAGAAGAAGCCAGTTTTCTTCAAGTTCAACGCTGGTCGGCTGACCAGCGTTGGAAAAGTACCAGTTTTCTTGAAAATGTCAGCACACCAGGAGCCATGATCATACAGGATGCTTTGGACTGTCATTCCCTAACAGTCCAGTACGGTATTTCGTGATAATTTGATCATTTCGTTTTTTTGATGTTTGCATTGTATTTTCCCTTTAACAAATGTACAATCATAGAACAGATTTTGTGTATGTTCTGAAAACTCGAAGTTGATTCAGTTACTTATTGTAAAATGGATTTCAATAAGTAACGATATGAAAGAACAGAAACTGATACAGAACTTAATTAACAATACTTAAAGTCAATTTGTAAACAATTCATGCATCTGTATTCAGGTATTTTCTTATGGTTATACGACAATGTACCAGAGTACCGGTGTCACGTGAAAATCCGACTCCTATGAAAATCGGACCCCTATTTCCCTATTATTGGTTGATCCCTCGCACGTGACAGGTCACTCTCCCGAAACGATCCTAAAAATAGCATAGTATCGTACTCACGCGTGCGCAGTACTACCAATGAGTCCACATTTCATGGAGTCGGATATTCACGCTACACCGGTACATGTACATGTATACACATCTGCACGTCAATCGTGTTGATGTGAACACATGTAACATAGGCCTATTGTTTGCTACATGTATATGGCTCAACTCGGGTCTGACCCTCCCCCCCCCCCCCAATTGGAGGACCGCCCCCTCCCCCCTAGATAACAAAGTTCTATAGATCAGCTACTGGCAGCCATTAATAAACTCTTTCAGTTGGGAATAATTTTGCCATAAAAAAAGCTCCTTATGCACCACTACGTGTTTAGAAAAATTGAAATTGTACTTTCCAAAGCAAATTCAGCAACATGTGGCAAACAAAATGTAGTTTTTGCATGGCCAAGTTCAAAGATGCATGTATGCGTTATGACAGTACGCAAACATCATATCCTACAATGAAAGTGCTGGTACACGCACTTTATCGGAAAAACAAATATATGCACGTTGATTAAAACATCAATAGGTGTGTGATTCATTCGCTCAATGGAAACTTCCATGAAGAATAGTACATTGCAACTGGTATCTCTCTGTACTAGTTTAGTCATGTGTTTGCACTACACAGCGACCAAAATATCCTACCTTGGACAAGTTACATGTAACAATTTGCCCACACCACGATGCGTCACAGAGCATTCGTTGTTATTCCGTCAAGGGTCAAAACCTGTACTGAGCCAAGTTTTACCTGGTTAAATTGTTAGCTGTCGTTTTGTTTTGCAAAGATTGAAAATGATCACTGTGTCAAAACTGAATAAATTGTTTTTAAAGAAAAGAATGTCTTCTTTCTTTAAAGGGAAGATACAACAGTTGCAAACATCAAAAAACCAAAATGATCAAATTACCATGAAATTCTTTACTGGACTGTTAGGGAATAACAGTCTAAAGCATCCCGTACAATCATGGCTCCTGGTGTGCTGACATTTTTAAGTCAAGTGGTATTTTTGTATCAATTTCCAACGCTGGTCGGCCGACCAGCATTGGGAGAAAACTGGTCCTTTTTTTTTTTAAACTGCTCCTAATTTCTCATACTTGTGAAGTGGTACAAGTCAGCTAGACTAGTTCTCTGACTTACAATTCCCCAACGTCTATAAATTGCTTCGTTTCATCTTAAGTGGGGTCAGGGAACCAGACTTCAAGAACATGATTGGTTTTCCCAGCATCTACGGGCCCAAAACGTGAAACAAGTCAGTATAACAATATTTGCTTTAACACACAAATCCTCTAAATCCGTATATATTTCAGAATATTACAGCAAAAACAAATGCTGTACATTCCCTTTAAATCAAGCCAGAACACCAAAATTGCACAATCTTGGCTCAGTACAGATTTTGACCCTTGACCAGTTGACAGAATAACATTGTGCTCAGTCATCCTTGGCCATGACACATAATCAAGGTATCATTGGAAAGAGGACACGTTGGTGTTACCTATGGTCTTTAACGTACTTATTTCAAAATATTTATTACATTTTTTCATATACATAATTTGCACATTTTAATGTTTTATAGCATACCCATACACAATGTATTTATAAGCATTGAGGAATATGAAGTTGAACATGACCATGGCCAATGGGTTTAACAGAAATTGGGTGCACCCCCCCCCCCCCCCCCCAAGTTGTAACATATCCAGGGCCCCCACCCCACTCGCCCCTATGGTGAGAATCCCAGCTACACAGCTGACAGAAACAAAACCTCTTGTCATGCTTGTGAAGACTGGATCATTGAGCCAAAATAGCAGGAAAGAATGTTGCAACCTGATGCTACTTCAGTGGTTGTGTACAAAGTCTATGGAGGTCAAGAACATTTTCTAAGTATTTCCTTTAGCCTATGTTTCTCAGTCCCAGGTTCATGTTTTGTTTTCATTTTTGCAATGACTGACCTGCATTGAGGTGATATAACGGTATGAAAACAAAGGTAGTGTCAAGTTGCAGCATCCTTCCCTAATAATAATTCATGTAATTCATTTATTTAGGCCAGTACATTTTAGCAATATGTGTACATGATATATAGCAAATCTAATACTGAACAATTGCAAAATCCTGAAAAAAATGCAAAATCTGGATTTAGATTTTGATGAAATTTATAGGCAAGTTGAGCAGGTGTAATTCTTTACTCAACAAAACATATACATGTACATCAAAAATACAGATTTAAAATTATATAAGCCAGTCTAAACAATAACATGCTAAATTAGCACATTACTAATTGACTGAATTCCTTGAAAGGTAACATAGGCTATAGTCCGAGTAACTAGGACCCTACGGATCGCTTTTTTAACATTTGGACATGGTCGGTACTATCGGATATAATACATCATGATATACATCTCCTTAAAGTTGAACTTCAACAAGTCACCAAAATAGCAAATTGCAAAACCACAACAAAATTTGCAATTTGTTCTGAATAATGGATAAAATGTGATCCAATTCAAAATGAAATACTAAATGCATGTATTGGACTCTGGAGACACAAAGTTAACACTTGTTTGTCAGTTTAAGCAAACTATCACACGGCCATGACGGGTCCAACATTTTGTCCAACTTACCAAGGTACATAAAATGCCGATACTTCCGGGTAGGCCTACCGTCCTGTCGACTATGCAAAAGGTGTCAAGTTCGAAGTGCCACACAAATACCTATAAAGGTCGTTCGAAGTCAATGCACAGGTTTCTCATGAGCTTCCATAATACCTTTATCGCCAGAGGTGTGCAATCATGATAAGATAAAACTTTGAGCTGACAAATTTTGATATCGGCGAACAATGACCCACACATCAGCATCCCCCCAAAAAATCCTGTTTCCTGTGTTATTGAATTGCGGTCTGGTACCCAAAATGAAGCGAGTTTGCTGCACAATGCAACGGCGAATTGAGATTTGTCCTTATCTAGTCTAGTCTGGTGCTGTAATTTTTGTGGGTTGGGCCGGGTGGGTGGGGTGGTCTGGTGTTTTTATTCATAGTTGATTGACAAGTCACCCACTGGATTAAAAAGTGGTTTTCTTGAATGAAACGACTAATTAAGTAAATTAATCCACAAGATAAAAAATGAACTAAACATTTTACTGAAAGTTGCAGAGGGCATTAATTTGAATTGTAAAAAAAAAAATGAAAGGAGAAGTCATGATGTATTGGAATCGATGTGATTGCAGGGTGATGAGGTTAAAAACACGGGGGAAGAATGATCTGGTATAAACAAATATCATGGGAAAAAAATGTTTAGGAAAAAAATGTTGTATGCTACAACAAATGCTACAAAGTAAACAAAATTGATTACTTAACGAAATCGATTCTCAGTCTAGTCCCGGCCCCATGATTTATGTCCTTTTAACATTTTTATGACTGACCATTATTGAGAATTGAGATGATAAGAAAAACTGGGGTCAGGTTGCTACATTCTTTCCTTTATTTATCCCCCCCCCCCCCCCCCCCGCTGAATTACTGCTTTAATGCAGAAGTTGGCCCAGTTTCTAATCCCAAATATTACAATTTCCCCCCAAAACTCCCTAGTCTATGTAAAAGACGCTCGTTGAAGACGTACGGAGCACACGGCTCGCTCCGTAGAACGGGTGATACTCAGACTAAAAACTCCCCCGGTCCCCCCCCCCCCCGAGATATTCGACATCGGAAAAATGTATGACCGTTGAGGGCAGTATTTAACCATGGCGGCCTGCGCTTCGTCGACAGAAAGGACAGACTACAACTTTACAAGTTCATTGATGCGTAACAAAATACACACGGTCACTCATCATTGATGCATAACAAAATACTAGTATATTCACACGGCCACTCCTGGTTTCTAACTTTATCATCGGTTTGAAGAATACAGAAGAGGTTAGTTGGAAAGAATTCATACAATCTGAGGTAGAGTGTAACACCATCCATAGGCATAGTCAGGTGATAGTGCTGCTGCTGGCTATGGATGCTGCGCAGTGACATTATTTCAAGGCAGTGTATATTTTGCCGGAGACGGCAAACCATTAGTAAACGTTAGTTTGCCGGATATGCACTGAACATGCGCAGTTACTGTTTTTTTTTACTTAAACATTTTCCGGTGACAAATTTTAGTCTGGCTCCATGCCAAAATTATCATTGTAACCTCGTATTCACAAGATGGGATTCAGACCATTTTATAATTTCGGACTTTATTTCCCTTTTAAAAAAAATCCTCCAGAGCCACAAATCTGAAAAAGAAAATGTAATACTCTGCAAAAAGATGTTTGAGACATGTTAAAATAATAAAAGAAGAATATTCTTATTTATTTGGGGATGAGAAAAAAAAACTTAAAAATGTGCTGCGGTCGGAATCGAACCCGAGTCATCCCGCTTACTAGAGCCTTTGCTTAACCACTACACCAGCTGTGCTACACAACTTCGATGGGAATTTAATACATGTTATAATTCAGCCCTATCTTAAAGAGTACAGCGCCCTCTGTTGATATGGATTGCCGCCGGCAAACCTTTAGTAAACGTTAGTTTGCCGGCGTTACCTCCGGCAAAATATCCACTACCAAATAATAATGAAAAGAAAAATCCACTGTCTAACTTTTTCACATGCAAATTTTTAGGGATGGATGGATACCATAAACGCAACATAAAATTGGCCTCACTATGAATACCTGGCAACTAAACATGGTAGCTAAGCAACCAATGGTGTTTGCCAATTTTTTTGGGGATTTCCCAGCTTTGTATTGAAATTGGGGTTTCCCAAGCTCACTGCAATAACATTCATATAATGCACGGAATAAGCTTGCAGATTGGGTATTGTCATGTTTCAGTCTTTTTAACGGACTTTACTGTGTTGCAATAATACACTCTGGGACTGAATGTGTCAATACTTTGTGGAACAGAACTATTATTCCAGGTATTCTATGTGTCTGTGGGTCTGTGTGGGTGTCTGTATGTTGATTACCTCCAGAGCTGCGCACTGTCATGACTGTGTTACGCCCCAACTATCGCATCGGTCCCAACTATAGTTGGGCCTGTCCCAACTGTAAGTTCCACTGTTGGGCTGGCCCATCTATAGTTGGGCCACTCCGATCTTTTTATTTTGCGGTGTCCCAACTTACATTGATGTACAACTATAAAACGTTCCCTACAGCTCTGATACACGTCTGACTTTACTGGGGACCACTGAAATTAGCTATTGACGGGGCGAATCTATAGTTGGGCCACCCCAATTTTTTTATTTTGCGGTCCCAACTATAGTGTACATTGTTGTACGATTATAAAACATTCCCTACAACTCTAATACACATCTGACTACATGTACTTGGGACCAATGAAATTATCTATGGGTGGGGACCATCTGTAGTTGGGCCACCGCAATATTTTTATTTGTCGGTCCCAACTACAGTTTACATTGATGTACGACTATAAAACATTCCCTACAGCTCTGTTACTTGTCCGACTTTACTTGGGACCTTTGACATTAGCTATGGGTGGGGCCCATCTATAGTTGGCCGGCCATGGCAATCTTTGAATTTTGCAAAATGTTGCTGGACATTAAAACCCAGCAGCCGGACAACTCATCCAACTAGGCAGTACCACGTGACCGGCCAGCCTTGCGGCATGCATGCACGACGAATACACGGTGCCAGCGCCGCGGAACATTTAATCCAACAAGATCTATCAAGCATGAAGCATCCGGCGCAACTCCAGTCCTAACTATAGTTGGGCCGACCCAACTGCCGCACTATAGTTGGACCGATGCGATAGTTGGGGCGTAACAACTGTATGAAGTTGAAATTCGGCAGGTGTATTGCTCATCAGCACCCCAGAATGTGCAGTGCCAAGTTTGAAGTTGTTTAAATAAGTGGTTCTCAAACTCAAAGCTGCAAAACAGCTGCATTTTCGGAGGCCTAGATCTTGCAAATGTGTATACCGTTGTGTCCATGCAACAAGGTCGTATCACCGAAAATGGGCTTTACGTGAAACACGAGTTTCAGAATGTCAAAAGGTCGTATCTCACTTAAAATAACCCGGATGTACACACAAAGTCAATGGTCGTCGAGAAACGACCTTGTCGCACGGAGCGTATTCGCACGAGATAAGACTTTGTTGCAGAGTAGAGTTACGATCTTGTTGCACTGACGCGACGATATACAGACCGCGCCACGTGCACACACTGCTGCACATTTTTTAACTTGCACTGCACTCTATATCCCACCATGGGTACGGGTGACACACGTGCAAATGGTAGTTAGCTGTATGGGCTCGACCATTTCATGAAGGGGGAAGATCACGCAACGGTCAAGTGGTCCTCGACCATTTTTTGAAGAGGAAGATTGCGCAAAGATGAGGTGTACATGGTGCGCTGTTATACTGGCACGACCAGCCGACCAGCGTTGGAAAAAACTGGCTTTTTTCAAATACTGGCCCCAATTGACCATCGCACTTGTTTGTAATCGATTACACACCTATGAACGGGTACAAGCCATCTAGACTGGTTCCCTGACCTTACAATTCCCAATGTATGTAAACTGCTCTGTTTCTTCTTATATGGAGTCAGGGAACCAGGCTACAGGAAAACGATTGTTTTTCTTGGTTTTTATAGCATTTTCGAACCCAAAACGTCAAAAAAGTCAGTGTAACTATATTTGCTATATATTTCCAACCCCCCAATTCCATCCATTTCTGAAAATTACAGCAAAAGCAAATGATGTATATTCCCTTTAACGGGTTCTGCACTAGCGTTACAAACAAGACCTCTTTAAACATGTTAAAGAGTTGGCCCAGTAAGTGTACGTTCTTCATGCAAGTATGAAAAGCTTAAATACCATCTCTTTCTATTTTTAATGTCTTTTCAGATTTTGTGGTGGAGGGACATGGACAACATTATTATGATGTGCTAACATATCCATACTACACTTAAGTAGACTTTCTTTTCGCCTTGGACAAGTTGTTAAAACTCCGTCAACAATGTTCATGTACTGCTGGGGTGCCAAGTGTCATGGTCAGCTAGGTCTGGACGACAGGACTGCGGGAACCAGTGACACGGATACCGATGAACCCGATAGCAACAAAGGGGATTTGGTTTCGACGCCGCTGGAGGTGCGGTTCTTCAGAAGGCGGGACGTCTGTGCGGTCGCGTGTGGATTGCGTCATTCTGTGTTTTTGCTGAAAGACGGGACGGTCTATACGTGTGGGTCCAATGACAAAGGCCAGTTAGGGCATGAAATGCACGGTAGAATTCCAGGTAATTTGTTATTTTTTTTTTATTAAAGAGGTTGTGGAATGCTCGAAGACATTTCCGTCATTTTTCGGGTATATGTAGCCTAAGGTGTGATGAAATAGAAACGACTATTGTGTCTGTCATGAAATGAGTACCGTAATTTTCGGAATATAAGCCGCGCGGCGTATAAGCCGCAGCACGCAAAAATCTGCAAATTAAGATTTGAAGTCGGCGTACAAGCCGCACCGGCGTATAAGCCGCACCGACGGCAGCGGTTTCAATTTTGTAAGGCCTCAGAATTCTAGCCAAAATGCTCTGAACCAGTTCTATTTACACTACAGAAGCTATAAAATGGGCCACAAAAGTTGTATCAAATCATTTACAATCGATACTCTCACAAACAAATGTGGAAAATGATGATGAGAAATAAACACCGGGAATTGCTGCCGGCTTCCCCGTCCGGTCCCCGGCCGTAAAAGTTAATACATCGCCCGGCGCGGCAGCCGGCGCGGCAGCCTGCGCCGCGCCGGCCTGTGACAACATTTTCCTGCAGCACGTGAGAGAGTATGCAACCCACCGTGATTTTCCCCCATTGCGTGTGTTGTCTGACTGGAGCGCTACGTACAAATCTTGCTTTGTGGCAACAGATGCTGATTTGTTTTGTCCTAAAAATATACAGGTCCGTTTTTATCTCAAAACTTATCAAATTTTTGTGATTACTAACGAGCAGTATTCAAGTTTCGATCGTAACTTTCTTCGAAAATTGTCAAAACGATGCTGCCATTTTCATGGATGAATCCATTAATTGTGTAAGGGGTGATGTAGTCCCTGTTTTGAGGTTTACATCGTTTCTTGAATACATTTCAAGTACAGAATTTTATATTGTGACGTTGAACAACGGATTATCAAATAAAGAAATGTTTCGGACACCATAAAAAATATTAGTCGTTTTTCCCCCCTTTTTTTAAACAGCGGAAATGTTGGTAATTATTGTTTCCAAGATAGTACACCCCTATATTACCTCAAATGGTGTGGTCCGCTGGGGAAAGCATGCTGCATGCAGCACTAGAATCACGTACGGCTTGTTGCAAGCGTCGATATCGAAGACAGCTTTCACCGTACTTTTTACCGCTCGGCACCTTTACGTGGCACGTGGTTTCGGTTCGTTAATGACTTTCTTAATTGATAATTCATTTCAGCAACATATCTCTTCTTATACCAGAACATTAAATACACATGTGAATTTCATTTTTATTCTTCAAGGCTCGGCGTATAAGCCGCCCTGTGTATAAGCCGCAGTAAACATTTTCATGGGCAAAATCAACGTATAAGCCGCGGCTTATATTCCGAAAATTACGGTACAAAAGGTACTTTTGAGAGCTGTTTTTCAGGTCCTGTTTCGACCCGAACGTGCAATTTGTGTAAAAGTCGTCGTTGGGGCAGCAAACAAAACAGTAAATCATGACGTAATAAACAGGACTCCCAATGCAGTGTAGTATAAACGAGTCCTGTTTATTACGTCACAATTTTTCTCATTTTAGGAAGAACCCGACGACTGTTGATTTCAATTATGCGCTCGCCGACCAATAAATTACTCAATGAATTTCAGTTTTATAAACATATAAAACGCTCATTACAAAAGAATGGGACTTTGTCATTATGATATATAGGGCCTATGGGTCTACTCTACAATAAAAAAGTACAAAAAACAAAACGACTTTCAGCATTCCACAACCTCTTTAACTTGAATGGTGAAATCAACAACATCAACTTCTATTATTTATTTGATCTTTTAGAAGTGAATAAACAATTGTTAGTTTGAGCTGTTGGCTATTGGATGTTCAGAACACTTCACATCCTCCAAAATCAACATTGCATCCTCCAAAATCAGCCAAACATTTTTGCCATACAACCTCCATCCTTCAAAATCCTCCACTTACGCAACAATGATTTTGGAGGATTTGGTAAGGTTAGGTTATAGCCATGTAGAGAGGGTCCAATGTTACAGAACCATGTAAATATTACTAATCAACCCAAAAAATCAGCCCCCCCCCCAAAAAAAAACTATCTGAAGAAAATGACCCCCCCCCCAAAAAAAAAAATTGCCTGGGATTTACATATCTCCTCAATCCTGTGGTTTGGGTAAATTTCCGCCTTTAACATACTACAGTGCTTCATATACATGTACACGGTGGATCAAAAAAACCGAAACCGAGATATTATTGCTAATTGGAACAGAAGTAGGGCACATGTGAATCAAAGGGAGATATCCTCTGTTAGGGTTGAATCTCCTCTTTAAAATGACACCCTGGTCATGTCATTACATTCACGGTTGACTGAGCAGTGACCACATTTATGAAAGGGTCTATTTAGAGACTTGCGCCACTTTTCAGTTGTGGTTTTAGTTGTGTCAATTGTCACAGAGTGAAAGGCTATGGTTGCCAACTCAAGCCAGGTGGGAAAAAAAAGAGATTTCACCATGAAAAGTGGTGCAAGTCTCTAAATAGACCCTTTCATAAAATTGGTCACTGCTCAGTCAACCGTGAATGTAATGACATGACCAGGGTGTCATTTTAAAGAGGAGATTCAACCCTAACAGAGGATATCTCCCTTTGATTCACATGTGCCCTACATAAGTTCCAATTTGCAATAATATCTCGGTTTCGTTTGTTTTTATCCACCCTGTATATTGTTATAATTACAAAATGTATGTAAGGCCTCAATATTCTAACTGCTTGGAAAAACATGTGTCTCATTAAAACCCTCCTTTGTTTGATCAGTCACAGACAGTCAAAACTTCAATCCTGTTTCCCTGCCATGCTTTTTACACAGGCTAGTCACCAACAGTCAGATCATATTTCAATAGGCACTGTGACAGTCAAATTCCATCAACAGACAAAACTAGGTGACTGGTAGGCACAGCTGGCTTATCAATCACATACAGTCAAAGCATGGCTATAGGCTTATCAGGTTTTATAACAATCACAGCCAGTCAATCCTGCTTTATGAAGGCAGGGAGCATTCAACTGTTCAAAACAGTCACTTGATTTATTTTGACTGCTTGGCTGGCCTTGTTGAAATTGCCAGCCAGAGAGGGAGGGTTAATAATAAAATTAATATTCAAGACCAAACTTGCCTGCATTAACCTTCAATCCTTGAAAATCCTCACGGCGGTTTTGGAGGATTTTGGAGGATTGAGGATGAACGGTGATTGAGAAACATGAGGATTTTGGAGGATTGAGGATGAGTGGTGTTTGAAGAAGAGGATGATTTTGTAGGATTGAAGGTGAATGGTGTTTGAAGAAGAGGAGGATTTTGGAGGATTGAGGGTGAATGGTGTTGAAGCACATGAGGATTTTGTAGGGTTGAAGGTGAATGATGTTTGAAAAAGAGGAGGATTTTGGAGCATTGAGGATGAATGCATTTTGAGAGGCAGGACTGTCTGACGATTTTGAAGGATTGAGGCACTGGGTATCCTTCATTTGAACATAAGTGCAACATTTTGGAGGAGTTTGGAGGATTGAGGATGGTTATAAGGCCCAGGGGGTTAGGGTTAAAAAAATTGCTGCTTAGAACTTATGGCCTGTAGTAACTTCACAACTCAAAATTTGACTGTATAAGAAAATAAAATTTCGCTCTAGGAAACTGCCTTTTGTGGAAATTTAGCATTTACGTTTTTGTGAATTTTTTTCGGCAGGGCAAGTAAAAGCTCTTGAGACCTGCGTGATCCGACATGTAGCCTGCGGGGAAGCGTTCACGGTTGTGACTGCCGAGAATGGAACCGTGCTAAGCTGGGGGGACGATAGCTGTGGACAGTGCGGATGCGGCTCAGAAGACAGAGAACCCAAGAGAACTCCTAGGTGGGTGACAAACTGAAGACAAAAATGGCATCTACAAAAATGCATTCTTGTTGGTAATTCTGCAGGTTGTGGGTTCGAGTCCAGCCTGGGGTTTCCTTGCGTGTGTCCTTGGGCAAGGCACTTTGTCATGAATTGCTTCTCACCCAGGAGTTGACTGTTGCCTGTGAGAGCAGAGATGATGGTTGTGTGTGATTTAGCTGGTCGCGCCAATTATGGCAGCATTAAGCTGCATCCACTCCGTTCACAAGTACCCCCTCACCGGCAAACAAAGTACAGTTGGGGGCGACCAACCGATGCCATCTTGCCCGACTGCAATTTTGCCGCGACGCACGGCCGTACCACTGCGTGTACATAGTACAAATCCCCTGGTGTACGTACATCACACACAATTGGAACGGTGCGCGTCAACCAGCTAAATGTCCCGCCCATGGGACGTCGTTGCTAGGTAAAAGGGCGCCCTCTTTTGTTGGCGCACGGAGCTCATACCCCAGGGAATTGAGACTCCAAGTTGGAATCGGGTAGAATTGATTTCCAACTTTGAATTGCAATCCTGACTCCACTTTTTTTTATGAATCAGAGTCCTGTAACCAGGGTAACAGTCATTTCCAGTCCCCCAAAATTGCCAAAGAATACATTCCAGACATTTAAGACAGGAAACACAACCATAAAAGATTTTGCATTATAGACTTATCCGGTGTACAAAAGTAACCACCAATTTTGAGGTGGAACTGCCCCTGAACATGCTGCACAAGCCGTGCGCAGATTTGTTAACCCAATTCGGGCGATTCACAATGCAGTGCGCCACCAAGAGTTTGCCAGAGAGTTCATTTTTCCCAGTGCATTGTGGGAGATGGTCGACAAATTCGCAGCGCGGTACATTTGAAATTGTTAGCGTTTCCAGTCAGTAGTTTCGTAAGCGTATGACTCGAGAATGTATTTGCCCTTTTCTTTTCTTTTTATCAATATGGTGTATTCCCTGCAGATTCCTGAAACGATTATCAATGCATCATGTCGTTCAAGTGGCTTGTGGTGGAGCCCACTGTGTCGCCCTGACCAAAGGTAAAAGCAAAATGCACAGCGTTCTTGGTTGGTACTTTGTACGAATACCAGTACAGGGTACCAGTGTATAAACGCCGTGAGTTAAGAGTCGAAACTTTGGTATCTGATATAGTCTTGTTTTTGTTTTTGTCCGGGTGATTTTTAACGAGGGATAATGTACAAATATTGACTGCTTCAAGTGGTGAGGTAAAACTAGTCTTCTGAGTTGATCTTTAAAACAGTTTGTTTTCCCGAGGCATATCCAAGGAGATGGAACACTCCACAGGCTAGTTTTACTAGACCACGAGGTAAAAGCAGTCAATGTTTGTTTTGTAATGCCTCGGCCACAGATTCTGCTTGATTTTAAAAGATAACTGATTAATTTGACTAAAATACAAGTAAAATGTACCTCTGTAATGATGTAGAATTAGTTATTCATAAGAGGAGTTTGCGTCGGGTGATGTAAATCAATATTAGTTTTGCCCTTCACCGACATATAAACACTGTATACTCAGTGTGCTATCTCCTGAGTGAAAGTTGGAAAAAATCACTCGGGTGGGACTCGAACCCACGACCTCCTGCTTTCTAGTGCAGACGTCTTACCACTGGACCACCGAGCTTATGGGATCGGTAAGATTAGTTGTATACAGATCTCGGTTAGGGCTGTCCAGTTTGGAATAATTTAGTATTCGATTATTTGTTACTTCATTTGACCAAGAACATGAATATTTGAAACTCGCCGATCAAGTTTTACACACACTCGCTACAACTATGTGCCGCGCCAGTCAAAAGTTGAACAGAAAGCGCGTGGGTTAAATTTTTAATGCGGCGATCAATATTATGGGCAGCTGGAGTCTTTTGCAGTTAGCATTTTATAACTATCCATATATTTTTGTCATCTTTGATTTTTTTCTTGTAATTTTTCTCTTTAGGAGGCAGGCTATTTGTCTGGGGAGACAACACATACGGTCAGCTAGGTCTCGGTCACACCTCGGTCAAGTACGTAGAAAAGCCCACAGAGATCACGTCCCTTCACGGGTTACCAGTCATGCGGGTCGCCGGTGGTGGGGCACACACGTTTGTCGTGTCGGTCTCGGGGACGGTATTCGGCTGGGGGCGCAATCATTGCGGACAGTTGGGTGTAAGTGACACAAAAGGTACGTGGATGTTCATCATAACCGTGCTTGAAGGTAGAATAACCGTGCTTGAAGGTAGAAAATGTCATTTGTCATTTGTGCATTTGTAATAAAGTCATCCATTTCTTGAAAGCTTTTAACCACTCTTACTTTTTTTCCTTTTTTTCACCAATGAACAGATCGGTCGCAGCCCACACTTTTGAAAAGTCTACGTACACAAAAAGTCAAGTTCATTGCATGTGGAAAGAACCACACTGCTGCACTGACTGCTGTAAGTACATGCTACCATTGATGATCTGTTCTAGATTGTGTACGTTTAATCTTTACTCTCTTGATAAACCGTTCCTGAATCCTAGATCCTGCAGAAGAAAACTAGTGACATATTCTTGATACTTAACCCTAACCGCCCTGAATCCTTCAAAATCCTCTTTGCCAAAGTGGAGGAATTTGAAGGATTGAGGTAACATGGCAAAATTGTGTTACTGATTTCGTAGCATGCACTTTGTCAAGGTCTTGGGCCCGATTTTGTTTGTTTTTGCTCAGCCATACATAAATATAGACCTGGATTAAGCTTGAAATCCTCTGCACTGCACCAGGATGTCACTGGCCAAGCCTCAACATATTGACAGTCACTGCCACAGGATTTTGCAGTGGTCAGCCCTCCATATTCTGAAAATAATGGAGGAATTTGCAGGATTGAGGCTATATGCTATTTTTCCATGAGGCCAATTTGAGGATTTTGTAGGATTGAGGCAACATCCTAGCAAAAAGGCCTTGGGAGTTAGGGTTAAAGTTCATGAGTAAACTTTAATGAGCTATATCAACCCAGTTTACCCATTCCTATTGGTCGAGAGACCGTCATGTGGCCAGTTTTAAATGGTTGATAAAGAGCGGCTGGCTGGTCTTAAACACTTTTCAAGTTAAATTAGGTTTTGCCCTTTACCGACGTTTAAACACTGTATACTCAGTGTGTTACCTCCCGAGTGAAAGTTGGAAAAAAATCACTCGGGTGGGACTCAACCCACGACCTCCTGCTTTCAAGTGGTAAGACTGGTCGAGTGGTAAGACATCTGCACTAAAAAGCAGGAGGTCGTGGGTTCGAGTCCCACCCGAGTTATTTTTTCCAACTTTCAACGGCATTTGTGCACTATTGTGCTATATAGTGTTGCTATGTCGTGTGCATGCTGTTCGGATTTGAATAGCGCCCCCATTGTAAGATGGTACCATCTTACACTTTTGGCCTTACACTCTCAGCAATCAGCTCCTGTAATTTAGTCTGTGAAATGTAGAGCGGCATGGGACTCCACGTACTGATGTAAGGACTCAGGAAGCTGACTGTGTTTGGCCAAACAGCTGCAGATATTATCAGGGCAATCTCAATGGGCCCGATCTTGAGCTTGAACTCGACCTATATGATGCTATATGCCTTTCGTGTTACTAAAACCTAAAAATTGAAACGATTTGTGTTTAATTTCCTCTCAATGTGATTTCTGTAGGATGGAGGTGTGTTTACGTTTGGTGCAGCTGCGGACCGTCAGCTAGGTCATAGTTCATCTAGCAACGAGATCAACCCTCGTAAAGTCTTTGAGCTCATGGGGAGCGAAGTCACTCAGATTGCCTGTGGCAGGTACGTCATACCATAATAAACATGGCTCAGTTTAGGTCATAGGTCATAGTTCATCTAGCAATGAGATCAACCCTTGTAAAGTCTTTGAGCTCATGGGGAGTGAAGTCACTCAGATTGCCTGTGGCAGGTACGTCATACCATAATAAACATCATGACTCAGTCTAGGTCATAGGTAAGCTTGTATTCGAGTCATCAAACATTGAGTCCAAGCCACCTCTCCAAAGTCCTAATCTTTGAAAATTAATTTCTCCAGTTTGGAAGACTGTATCTTCATGCAACTTTCAGGATTTATTTCCCTTATAATGATCCAAGTATGTGCTAAAAATTGTTGTGATATGTTCATTACTTATCGTTGAAATTGGAAAAATAGGCCTGGCTACGTGCATTTTTTTAAAGTTGTAACACTGGCGTTTGCAATATCTGTAAATCTTTTCAAGCCTCCCGAATATTAATAAGGTTCCTATCCTTATTATGGTGTGCAGTAAAAATTTGGAGAAAAGCCTGCTTCTTGAGTTATTTATTGATAAATATCACCCTTTTTTGCCGGCTTCCATTGGCCGTGATTCTCACAAATTATGCTGAAATAACAATTTGGAACATTCCTATAAATGGATATAAATACATAGATTTGGGGAGGTTTTCGAACGATTTCTTTCAGACTTGAAGGTCAGCTATATTAGTAACCAGTATTGACATTTCAGCATCGATTATGGCGATTTTTTCACTGACATGAAGTTTAGAATTTCTTCTTTCGTTAATAATTTAACATTTCAATCATGCTGAGCATATTTTCTGAGAAACACAATGTTCAAAAGGCCATGTTTTTGGTGGTGCATGAATTTCACTGCTCTGCTATAGCGTTTAAGTACGTAATCGGATTATATTTGCTTAACAACGGCAGACTCTTTGCCTTAGCAACCACATGACTGTATAGGTCTGAGAAAATGGGCCTGATTGTTCTAACTTTCTCTCTCCAGATGCCACACCTTAGCATTCATCCCCAAGACTGGCCGTGTCCTGTCATTAGGACTTCTCAGCCATCAACAGTCAACTACTCGGCCTGCCTACAGACGAAGCATGAGTACACCGATCAACATCAGTGGCCCATGGGCGGAGGGGGCATCCACCCAAAACAATCTCCCCAACGAAACTCCCAAACACCACAAATCCACGGAACAATCCCCGAGTGAACAAAACAGGAAAAAACTTAAGGAATTCCAATCAAATGTTGATGATGAGCATGGCGTATTGGAACTGGAGAGTGACTTAAACGAAGAAGTGTCGATACCCGAGGTAGTGTCGGCGGGCGAAGACAGCGCTGAAGAAATGGAAACAGATGATATCGCAAACCACGAGGTCGATACAGACTTTGGTAGATTACGTCGGGGATTGAGGACGAGAACGACGGGAGAAACCCAAGATGAAACCAAGGAGGAGAGGAGAGTGAGAGAGATCTTCAGTGGTGGAGATCACTGTTTCTTGGCTGCTACTTTTGCAAAGGTAAACTAGTAATCCAGTCAGGATATATGAGGAGCTGAAATGAAACCTGGGGCCAACTTCACGAAACTTAAATTTTTTTTTAGGGAACTTTGGGGGTAAAATAGCGATGAAGACGACAAACGCAAAATGAAAATGACTGCGATGCTAAATTGCGTTGGCATCAACTGAAAAATGTGTAAGAAAATCACTTTTTTCTACCCGACATGCCCGAGGGTAATATTCAAATTTACAAAAAAGGGTTTCATAGAATTTATTAAAGACTGCTTAAGGTTGCAGAAATCTTTTTAGAGTGACCAAAACACTTTAAAGACTAAAATGAAACAGGGCCCCGTCCTTACACAGTCTCCAATTTCATGCACATGGACGAAACACCGATTGATTCCGGCCGAGTACCAACCGCGCATATGTACTGTGCACAGAACCGCGTTGGGAACCATCGCAGCATTCGCATCCCTCACGGCTCATCAATAAGCAAAATATTTTTCACGTCCTTTTCTATGCTGACTGGATAGTTGTGTCAAATATTTCGGGGTCTGATCCACCCATTGCGCTTACACTCGAACATTGCAGGATCAGATCCACCAATTGCCGGATCTGATCTTTCCCAAAAGGGGGATTGAGAAAGGTGGATCAGATCCGGATCAGACCTCGATGCACCTCACGTTTACACTTGTTGTCGACCCCCTTCGATCCTCCTTGCCAGATTAGATCCTCCTTCAACCCCCCTTGCAGGATCCAGTGTAAACGCGGCGTAAGGCAGTTTGGCCTTGAGACTTTTGACCTGATGGATCTTGCTGCACTGGGCAGGCTTGTCATTTTAGACAAGTGTTGCATGTTGCTGCGTTTGGCAGGGTTTCTAACCAAAATGCCCTGGAGGGTTATAGTTACAGACAAGTCCCTGCTTCAAGACCAATCCTCGTCCGAGGACTGATTTCATTTAGCAAGACATAACGGAAATATATTTTAAGGGATTGTTAGTTATTAGCCAAACTAAAAACGACGCTTCTCAATTTTGTCTGGGTTTTGCAGGAGCAGGTAATGAACAATGGACATTAAGCCAACAGCTTAGTTGAGCATTCCATTTTATGCCGGCTTCCTACTGATTCGAAATGGGATAGTAAAGAAATGATTGATTGCTGAGTGACATTTTTTCATGAGCACATTGTTTAGTTGTTGAGTAGGACCCACATAAAATATGATATAGAATTAATTTGTGAAATTTCTTTGGGGATTTTCTTTTACGTGTGCCCACAAAAATGAAAACGGCATTCACCATTCTTTCATGCTTGCCTCTGAAAAATTGAAAGTTTTCTGACATGAGTTTGACTTGGGTTTCCAATGATTTGTTGCTTACACACCCCACTTAAGGCTAAACCGTTGCTATAGAACTTTTTTTGTTGCGTCGTTTATTTACCGGTACTTCCCCCAGGTACAGTTTCAGACAATTGGCACGAATGTGCGTATAGATTTTGTTATTATTGGGCGGCCGCAGCCGAGTTGGATGAAACCAAACTCTTCCAGACTCTCTTGTCCGCCATGGCCGTGGTGATGACATCAACGTGCTGGCTCACATCATTGCATACAGTGTCGACGTAGTTGAGGGGTCTCCTCCCTCTGTTGGGGCAAGGCAATCTCCAGCAGATGAGGTCGGAGATGGGACATGAACAAAAATAGAGCTCTCAAAAGTTTTCTCAATATACTACATGTACAGTGGAACGCTGCAATACCGAACACCGCTATACCAAACATTCGGTTATACCAAACATCATCCTTGGCTCCCGGTTTTATTGTACAAAAAGTACCGAACATTGTTGTTGAAATAAAGTCAACAACTAAACAAAATCTACTGGTTGTACATGTATTTAACACTATTTGTGCGCTTTTAATTCCCGAACATCAAAGGACCCATAGTTACATCGTGTTTGAATGTTGAAGAGTGATAGATGGCTATTATTTCCCCAAGGAATAAAAGGGAACACCACCCATTGCTCAAGTTTCCGACTCCTCGTGCGGCCGCGGGATGTGACAAATGCCGGTTCGCTATTGGTCAACAGAGGGTACCGGCCGTTCAAAATCGCTATACCGAACGATCGTTATTACGAACACTTTCTGTGGATCCCACGATGTTCGTTATAGCTGTGCTCCACTGTATCTACATGATCTATTGATTTCTCTTTCCAGGCTTCTGAAGATGTTGTGGACCATCGAGAGATACCCATCGATAATCACATAGCAACCATTGATGCGGTCTTCATGGATACCTTAGAGGCAGCATCCTCCACAGAGAGTCTCTCAGAGCCCGTCATGAGCTCCATAGAAGAAGTCTTCTCATCAGCTGCATGCCTGAACGCTTCCTTCCTCAAAACGTTAGTCAAATTTGTCTCCGTTATTGGGTCAAGTGGGTCATGTGCTCAAAGTTTTCTAGAACATTTTGATTTTCAAAAATTGCCATGTTGAGATAACCCAATTCACATGTACTGTTTTATTCATAAATATATACCTGGGACGGTTAATACCTTTTCTTACCGATCGAGAGCCTGTCACATTGGTGGGTTTAAACTGCCATTCATAAATAACTAAGACAGATTACCCATTCCCATTGGTCGAGAGCTCGTCACATGGCAGGTCTTAAACGGATGATAAAGACATAGCTGGCTGGTCTTAAACACACATACTGAAATGTGTATCCTTGTGGAGACATTTCTTTGTTCTGGTGTAGTAAAGTTTTCGAGTTTGAAAGTGACGTTTCAAAATGCTCTTATTTTAACCAGAATAAATTTCCTTGGCTAAAATTTGGACTTGTAGATCCCTTTTCTAAAACTCTTCCATTTGTGACAGATCAACCCACCTTGGAAATTCCTAGTTTTTGAGTAAAATCCATATATCTATTTCGTGATAACCTTGTGGAGACGTATTCATCTATAGAAATTGCCCTGTGGAGACGTATACAATCTTTTGTTCCCTATTGTACACACGTCTCCAGAGGGCACGGTGTATCAGATCACTTTTCCAGTGTCGCGTGAAATTTGGACTCCTATGAAATTATGCCTTTTACTGTGTTACTGGTTGAACGTTCACAATTCTCACGTAGGCATGCTCAGTACTACCAGTGAGTCAGTATTTCATAGTCCTAGATTCACAACACACTCACCACAGCTGCATCTGTGCGTCATCGCGAAGTACGTGCCGCGTGCACCAATTTCCATAAAAGGAGTTGTTTACATCTTAATCTCGAGCTGGACACTCTATTTTATAGCTAGAGGGGTGTTTCAAAAAAACAGAAAGTAAAATTATTGAACAAAATCGTTGGAATTTTTAATTTTTGACTTGTTTTGACTTTTGGACCGAAAAGTTTTTGATTTTTTGACCAAAAAGGTATTTATGAATGGGAATAAATATGTGCTTGGTCAGTATTAAACACTGTTTTTAAGACTGGTTGGAGTCTGGACTACTTTTATCTTACCGAGGGTGACTAATAGTATTTCAGACTCCAACCAGTCTTAAACATAGTGTTTAATACCGACCAAGCACATATTTATTCCCATTCATAAATTTTGACTTTTTGGTCAAAAAATCAAAACTTTTCAGTCAAAAATTAAAAATTCCAACTATTTTGTTCAACAATTTTACTTTCTGTTTTTTGAATTCTTGTTATCAAGCCAGAGGGTGACCAATCAAGTTCATCACAAGTCAATCAGTCCCAAATCAAGTCACAAAGTACCCAAATATACTGTGACAAAGACATTATTATTTTTAATTGTTCATACCGCAGCACAAAACAGACAAGGTTGGAGATCTCTGATTGTCCAGGTCTGCTGGCAAGCGGAAGGCACCACGACTGACCGACCGCATTGCTTCTAACCTTTACTTGTGATTTACTTTTGATTGATTTGTTACTTGGCTTGAGAATGGACTTGTGAGATTACTTTTGATCAGACTTGGGATTTTGGTGTTTCGGTTGTCTGTGATGTCAGTAATTTACTGGATTCAAACGGGATTTATGTCTGTGTTTTACTTTTGTTCCTGACAGGAATGATGAGCATTTTGGCAGTAGTCGGCAGAATCATGGCATGGACCTTGATGCCGCTAGAGAACAGTTCAGAAGACTGGCGGGCAAAGAGGCTGTGGTCAGATATGTAAGTATTTAACGACATGCCATTGACATTGTTTTTATTTTCATTGTCTGCATCGTCATCATTGTTGTCATTGATTTCATCCTTATTATTATTATTGCGCAATTGTCACCATTCTCAACTTCATCCTAGAATTTACCATGGTAATGCATTTCATTGTCCTTTCCACAGTCATCATGATTGCATGGCCGTTGTCGTTGTAATTGGACATCGTCATAGTTACCATTCTCTTTGTCACCTTGTCATTGTGTCACGGCGTATTTTTGTCATTTTTGTCAATGATTTTTCCATAGTCACGATATATTTTCGGCTTCAGTCATTATCAGTGACCAGGCCCCTACTTGGTTTGAAACCAGACGTTTGAAACTGCTCCATCACGTTTTTATTACCATTCATACAATATACTTTTTTGGTCAAAATGTGGAACAATTGACAAAACGTTCCAAAAAGTTGAAACATCGACAAATTTCCGAGGATGTTTTGTTGGTGAATTTAAGGTTAGATTGCTATTCATGTTCTGGGGCCCTTTCTATGAACAGATAGTGAGATTGCATTCCCTCTCTGAAAAAAGCAACCACACAAGATGACACCCTCTGCCTCAAATAAGCAACTTGGTGGATACAAATGAAACTAAAAGCCCTAGTCACACATTTACGGTTTGGAGCTACGGATGTCTGCGGTTTGAAATTCGTTATAAACTGTAGGAGTACCGTATTCATCCTTAGCCCTAACCCTCCAGGGTATTTTGGCTAGAAACCCTGCCAAACGCAGCAACATGCAACACTTGTCTAAATGACAAGCCTGCCCAGTGCAGCAAGATCCATCAGGCAAAAGTCTCAAGGCCACACTGCCTCAGAGTCTGTGGTCCCCCAACGCAGCAGGATACAACTGTGGCATTGTTCTATGGGGCTAGTTCTCATTGTCTCAGAAGTGGTAATGTATGCAGTGGTGTTGGTAGCTGAATGCATCAAAGTGCACCAGACTTTTCCACCTGATGCACTGTGCTGCGTCTGGCAGGGTTAGGGTTAGTGCATCCGTGGTTATCCGTCATCTTCCTTGGGTATTCCTGGAGGGGCTACGGAAGTTTGAAATTAGTGAAAACTTCTGTGGTGAAACGTCATGAAAATCAATTGAATTACGCCTGTGTACTACACTCAACCAAAAAAGAAAGTCCCCCCTTCCAATACTTTTTTTGTCTAGCTCAATCTTTATCATGTTTATTCAGCCTGTTTTTCTTCCTTAAAATTAGAATATTTAATTAAAAATAATGTCAAATTATTTGCCTTATTAAAATGTACATGTATCTATAGGTTTTTTTTCTTCCGCCTTAAATCAAAATAGGTTTTTTGTCAAACTTAAACCTACACATTCAGAAGAATGCATTTTTGAAAGTACATGTAGACATTTATTTTTGAAAGCATTTTCGAAAGCAGAAATTGTCTTACATAATGTATAAATTTACAAATATAATTTTCACAACCATCATGACTGCATGCCACCTCTGTTGTCATTGTCTGTACACTTACACTTACAGCTATGTTACAGCTACAGGATTATACAGGATTATACTACAGGATTTTTTCCAACTTTCACTCGGGAGGTAACACACTGAGTATTCAGTGTTTAAAAAAACGTCGGTGAAGGACAAAACCTAATTTGATTTATATCACCCCGACGCAAAGTTCCATCTTATAATGGTTTATGCGGTACCCGCTGCTATGTACATCAGATTCGAACCGGCCAACCGATCCCGTTAGCTCAGTGGTTGAGTGGTAAGACATCTGCACTAGAAAGCAGGAGGTCGTGGGTTCGAGTCCCACCCAAGTGATATTTTCCAACTTTCACTCGGGAGGTAACACACTGAGTATTCAGTGTTTAAAGAAACATCGGTGAAGGGCAAAACCTACCGGTAATTTGAGGATTATACTGGATTCTGAAAACTATTCAATGCTTTCGATGCCATGTTTTACGGGATTGCTCTGAGGAGTTTTGCCCACATATGTAATCCCAATATGGCCATCTTACTCACCACAGGAAATATATTTGTTCGGAAAATACATTACTTTGGAAAACAGGAAATAATTACATGTAACTGAAATTTAATGGTTTAATTGAACATAAACTTTAACAAAGGGATATCCATTGGATTTTTTATAATGTACATTTTAAGACAAACGATAAAGAATTAAGTTTAAGTTTAAACATAAAAATATAGAAAATAAATATGAAAACATATAAAATAAGAATTAGAATACAAACTTTTTTTAAGTACAGTGTACAACTGAAATTTCCAATTCTTGTCATTTTAAAGTGAACCATTACCAGAATGCCTCTAAGTCCCATTTATACATTGTTTGCAGATGCTATTCACAACAAAAACTTTAAATTCTTAAAATAATCTACAGTTACCGGTAGGTGTAGATTCGAAAAATAATGCACTGTACAGTGCAGATTCGTAGAAATCTACACTTTAACAATAGAGTGACGTTACAGAAATAAGTTAACAACAACTAACTTTTAGCTCTATGCTTGACCAAAGATGTTCACAGAGGTACATTTCGTTTCTAAATGAACTACCAGTGTACAGTATTCATCAGCTGCTTCTCCTTGGGTGAACAATGATAAATTATTGCTGCATTGCTGTTTCCAAGATATGGTAACATTACAGGGCAAGTTCGCGCAAGGACTATAGTTAACCATTGGTCGACTAACGCTTGCCCGAACTCTGTCTAGTCGACGATGGTTAACTACGCTAGTCGACTATTTGGAACCAACCTACTGGGGTTGGTTGCTTTGCTGGTAACCATAGCCGCGCGTGTTCATAACGTACAGCAGGGAGCCAGGAGCCAGACGTTTTGCAATGACATTTTGACCTGCGTTCGACTAGAGACGTTCGCACTTTGCTATTAGTGCGCAGGCGTAAGGTATGTCACATATCAACCACTAGTCGACTAATGGTCCTTGCCCGAACTTGGCCTTGGGTGTCAACTGTTGAACTTTGTACATTTGTACTGTGTTACACAGTACGTAATATGCATATTAATTTGCTTTAATAGGAAGACTGTTTAGTATGGGACCTCATGAGTATGCATGAAATGCTGCAGTAAAAATTTCACTTTCAATGAACTTCCTTATTGTAAGGCACTTTTGAATATTTTACTTGAAAAATGGGCAGTAGAAATGTCATGTATCGTTTGACTTACAGAGTGATGACTAGGCAATTATTTTTGATATCACATACACGGAATATATACATGTACACCAACTAAAAGCTTTAAACAGGTTATTTGTAACATACTTGCTGTACAATAATTATACCGGTACCAACCCCCAAATATATCCATTTCTGAAAATTGTATAGCAAAAGCAAATGTTGTTGCGATAACTGCTGATAAATGTACATGCCTAAACAATAATTTTGACTAACCAGCTGGATTGTTTAGGGAAAGGAGTTTACTCGTCTGTATTTATTTGCATTTGGCGGTGTACTACTACAGCTATTGTCGAACCCTGACTGGTCATGCTGGTTGTCTCCACTCCTCAGTGGCCTTTCACAAGTATCCTGGTACTGGCAGGGTAGCGCAGTACAGATACATGCGTGTTTGTTTTTGCAATATTTCTTGTAGACAAATCTCACACCGATTATGATAAGAGGGATTGACGTGATGGCAAACAGAATCCCAAGTACCAATGAGGACAAAGAAATTGAGTATGTCTTAGTCTCTGTGTCTGGCGTTTGCATTGTAACTGCTTGGGTTTTCGGCACTTGGGTTGTCTGCTCGGGTGGGGATTCTTCCGGCAGCGTGAGCTCAACTGTTGTCTGGAGATGCTCCTCAATTGACGGCGAATCCAGACGACAAGTCACATTGTCTCCTGGCATCAAACCTACAATTTTATACTTCTCCACATTCCATGGCCCAGTTTTATGGAAACCAAGATAGCTTGATGATAACCCCTCTCTGTTACTTTGGCAGTGCATCTTTGTACCACATTTGGATTTGTACTCACACGCAAACACGTAACTGACGATGTTTGATGCTTGATGACGCTCCATATCAAATCTGCAACTCATTGTTTCAGCTGGGCAGATTTCTAGCCGGGTTGATTCTTCCTCTATGACGTGTCCATCAGTTGTCTTGGCAACACAGGTGATGTAGCGATAAGTATCCATTTCTTGGCTGCCTGCTTGGACATTCATCTTCAGTGAGTGATGAGTGGCATTGTAGTATCCTTCCAAACTGAGGAACTCAGGAGGCCGATCCTGCCATTCCAGTTGGACGTTACAACTCTCTGCTTCTCCATGAACTGTGTAGGTACCGGTACATGTGTAGACACACAGAATGTGGCTTTTCTTGCCTGCATGGACTCGCACAACTCTGGGAAGATCTAGTCTTCCATAGGCCATGCATAATACATGTAATAGACTGAGAAGCAGGAGCATACATGTACATGCATGCCTGTTCACATGTCTTGCCATTGTTTGGAGCTTTCCTGAAGACACGGTGAAAAGAAGGGGGGGGGGGGTGGGGGGCTGAGCGTATGAACTCCACGTAAGGAAACCTTGGTGGGAAGCAGGTTCTTTCTTGGGTCTCCCTCCAGCTGGTGTTTTTTTTTATTGCGGCCTCACTTACTTGTCTGTAGCCTGCACAAGCTATGAAAGATTGTAAAGGTGGGAAGAATACAGAAAATTATTAATTGGATAAATTGGGTCATTCCGTGTCAAATCACCCAATGGGTTAAACCCCACCTCCTTCAAATTTGCTCATATTTAGTGTGTGGGGTAATTTAGGCTGAAAAAGCTGAAATTTTAAGTTTTAGCGCCATTGGACGAATGGTTTTTGCGATACTGCCCACCATTGTTTGGCAATGTACATGTACATGTACATGTAAGTCAAAATTGGCATGCGGCTGCCAATTTTAAAATGACCATGTTTCCATAACCTGTGGGCCAAATGTGTTAACCGTGGTTGCTTTGGAAAGGTAACATCATAAGGAATCCAAATTTACCGTTATATGTCATGTCGGAGTAATTTAAAGTATGATGACCATTTGACCTTTACTTTGAACTTAAATTTGACCTTGTGGATCAAGTGAACTTGAGACGAACTTCGACGAAATTATACCTGAACATGTTTTCTACAAAATATCAATAAATTGGGGGTATAATATGTTTTGTTTTGTTATTAGGTCACGTCAAAGTTGGCAAATGTGTGGCAAAATGTGATATCCCTATACATGCATGCACTTTTCAGGGACAGAAAAAATCCCTGCATTAAATCCACTAGTACACTGCAGGGAACATCACTGCTCCTAAATTCACTAGTACATGTACATATTGCAAAGGGATATCACAGTTTGCAACATGCCAACTTTGAGATGAGCTAGAAACCAAACAAATAATACCATACTCCCAATTTTTGGATATTTTGTAGAAACCTTGTTAACGTTGGGCAATTCCACTGACATTTTGGGTGGGGTTTTCACAAGATATCCCTTCTGTAAAGTTGCAGTAAGTTATAATTAACACCTAAACTCAAGTGCATTTTGTTCATTGCAAGTGCCCCTATAAGCTGATTTTTTTTTCTCCAAATTTGTTCTTTGTTGGGGTTCTGGTAAACTTATGTGTTGCCATGGGCAACAGACTGACACTTGTGCATCCTGCCT